CTGGCGACTGCTGGGTCTCAAGCGGGCCAAACCTCGCCCGGGACACATCCTACACCGGTACTGGCGACTGCTCGGTCTCAGGAGGACCCGAACCTCGCCGTGCAGAACTGTCACCCCCACAGGTCGCCGCGGGACGACTCACACTTTGATGCCAGCCACCAGGAGCGACGCCCACGGCTGGTGCATGCTCAGGCACATGCCGTCATCCGAGAGCAGCTGCAGCTGGGCGTCCTGCACGCGCTGCAGCTGGCTGGATGTGTGGCCGCGGAACAGCTTGTCCACGTCAGCCTCGCGGCGCGGGTCCGCCTGGTACTGCAGCACGGGGCAGAGACCAGTCACATGGCTGTTTTATAGCTTGTTGGCAGTGTAGGATAGTAGCACGGCGCACTCATTGTGGAGCGCAGTGTTAGTGATACTGTATTCAATACAGCAGGTAAGCTACACTGCAACATAGATGAATGTAGTAAAACCAGTCGGAATGGCCATAAAAGGGCACAAGGCAGCTTCTCATGCACAGCACTCATCACTTGTCCCACGTGCATCACCTCTATATTACAGGATCTTTTCATGTGGACCCCACAAAAAGATGGAGCGACCCAGAGTATGCCAGAATAACGATCGCATGTTATCCACGCGATCTCCTCACCACCATGACCTAACAGCTAACTATAACGTGTCACCGCAGTATGCAAGATCCGCTCCAGTCTTCCATATATCGAGCTATAGTACACTGCATGATATGTGTAGATGGCGTTAAGCAGCCGTCTGATAGTTCACGTCCCACTGCAGTGTGCTGAGTCTGAAAGTGAGACATCAGCCGGCTGTTTTGCGTCACCAAACCCTGGTGTCCACCAGGGATGGTGTGGGAGTGGATGGCAATCCTTCACAATCCATCTGGGCCCGGACGGGGCGGTTCGGGCAGAGCGGGCAGCGGGCCCTAGCCTTCCGTCCCGACCCCCGGCCCCCAGGCCACCAGCGGCCGGCCGGCGACTGACCTGCGGTCGGAACGGCGCGGCGTCTGATGTGCCGCTACTGCCGCCGCCGCTGGGCGGAGCCTGTCCAAAGTCGGACGACGCCAGCTCCCGGATCAGCTTTTCGATGTGGGACTGGTCCACCGACACCTCGGCCTCCTGCGTCGACACCTGTCGGCCTGTTGAGGGCAAGGGGCGGTCAGGGCAACCCACACCTCGCTGTCTGCCGGAGTCGGTTCAGGTCAAGGCAGACCTCAATACAACGGATCACGCGGCCTAGGGCTGGCGAAAGCTCCAACGAGACCCTAATGATACGCCCCTCACAAAACAGAACCCTGACTGTTCAGCGGCCACCTCTGCTGCCCCCGTGACGTCACCCCGCCTTCCTGGGCTGCGTGAGAGGGGCAGCTCACCAGCGAAGTCAAGTGTGAAAGTGCGCGCCCGCGCCGCCTTGGCCTGCTCCAGCTGCGCCCGGTACTCGTCCACGGCCTTGCGCTGCTGCGGACTCAGCCAGCTGGAAGCCCGTCTGGAAGTAGTCGCTTCTCGTCGTCGATCACCTGCGAGCGCTGCAGTCTGCAGGGCGGCGCCAGCGGGCGTCACAAGGCGCGCCGGCCACGCACCACAGACGTCACGGCCGGCCAGGCAAGCGCCACAAGACAGCATACCCATCACAGGCTGCTCCACCCACGCCAGGGCGAGCACCAACGGGACGCCGCCGTCGTCATGTCAGGGGAGGTCCAGCCACACATACTCCCTCGCGTCCCGCTGGTGCGCGCCAGGCGTCGACCATGCAGCACCATCCTCCCGCGCCGCTGACATTTGGAGCGATGCGTACGTAACCCTCACGTGTCCGCACCATCCTACAGGCGTTCATGGTAAGTTCTGAGTGCGCTCCGGGTCAGAGATTTACACATCTGCAGCCCGGCAGCAGTGAGGCAAGAGAGGTGGGGGAGAGTCTGTCCCACCCGTCACGGTCGCGTTCCAGCAGCAGGTTCTTGTGCTCGGTGGCACGCAGCAGAGCGTCCTTGCCCTTGTCAGCGGGCCGGCCGGCCCTCTCGGCCGCCGCAGACTCGGCCTCGTCGCCCACCTGGAACGGGACGGACGGCGGAGCGCGGTGGACGGCGGACACAGTTCTGCCTGCCGCGTACGAGACCGTGGCAGGGTCTGGACAGGCATGACTGCCAGGACACTGTATGCATGAACTAAAACGTGCGATCACCACTGAAAAGCTAGACTGACACACTTTTGGCCAAGGAATGCAGCAATTAAAAACAAAATTGCATGCCAAAAGAGCTGACTGACTCCAACTCAGCTGTACTCCTGCTATTTCGGTTGTCAGTGAAACTGCTGCCAGCTAACTACTCACCATGGCACCACAGAAGAGACATGGCCCAGCACCCTCCTGCTCGCACACGATACGCCCGCACGAGAGGCAGTTGGTGATCAGGCCATGTTTGATGGCTTGACACGTGCAGGGCCGCCGACCTGGCGGTCATTGGACATAACAGTCTCAGCAACTGGACAAAGTGAAAAGAATGAGAGCATTAAACAACAGATCTCAGATCCCTGTTCCTGCCTGTGATGGGATCAAGACCAGGCTTATAGGTGGGTGAACATAAGAACAGGGGCATGCTGAACTAAAACAGCTTCAGAGATCTTCACAGCATCAGAAATACTGCAGTTCCAGTGCTACATTACTGGGTTCTGTACAGAGCTGGTGCTTCAGCAAAGTCTCACATTGCATATGAATCATGTAATACATACAAGCACTTAAAAGAGCAAATCAAAGAGAACATTGCTGCTAGTCATACAACACTGTAACAACTCAATCTCAATGGTCTATCACATACAAATGCATGTGCCTATATGCAAGCAGGTAATCCTCACTTACCACACAAAATGTAAAGCTTTGTAGTACAATTCCAGTAAATAAATTTTTGCCCTGGTTTGGCTAATAGGGAACACATAATTCTGAGGTCAAAAGGAGAAAAGCAGCACCATCAAAAAACTCAGGAATGTAGGAGGTCGGGGTAAGAGCGGGACCCCACAAGGCTCCAGTTTTGGACTGATCCAATATCCAGGGGACCAGGATTGGCCAAGCCCCCCCCCCCCCCACCCCTGTTAGGTCTAGGTTTCAGTCCAATTCCATATCCCTGAGGTGAGGTCTGCTGATAAGGTTAGCCTGCAACACCCACCATATGGTGGGTGGGTATAGGTGGGTAAGATTTACATAATTTAATTTTATCACTCTTGTCTCTGATGTTTCAGGAGCCTGTTGCTACCTTGGTGGCCAAACCAAGAACTAGCCTCATGTGATGAAGTGTACTGCACTGCTGTGGATGGTATGTCATAAGTGATTAATAATCACTGGTGTGTATTTATCAGCTGCATTACATTTCATTCATCCCAAGAGATAATCATCACTTGGTGACAGATACAAGAACACACAGTTCATTTATTGCATATTCACACAACTATATCTCTGAGTGACAAGCTACATAGTGGAAAAAGACAAAAAAACATACCAATTAAAAGCCTATGAGCATGAAAAACACCACCTAAGCCATGCATCAATTCTAGTAATGGTTCACACTGACCAATGTCCCACTATCCTACTCACTCCATGGGAATGTTCCAACTTTGATGAAATTCAAGCAAGCATCAGATATCATGGGAAAAAATCCCTCATAACTCCTAGTATATTTTTTAAGTGGAAAGGATTGCTCTGAACCACACAGTTTCTCTGTTTAGTAAATATACTTCACAATACATTATTGTTTGATTATGTCATCACTCCCTCACATAACATTGATTGAAAATCAATTGACAGCCATTATACCTGGATGTTATACTTACAAACACCATGTATGAGCAGATCAGCAGTCATAATGTCAATGGCCTTGATTGCCATATGGCTAATTTAAATGGCAGGATTTGAACAATGTTATTATTGTATCATGGATGCCTGGGTGACCTTAAGGTAGACTCCTTGAGAAAGTCTGCACATCTCTGCAGGCATGCAGCTCAGAAACTAAAGGAGTTCAAGACTTTTGAAGGGCAGGGCTGTCAATTGCACCAATTGATCATCAAGATAGCTATCTGGGTTCAAAACACCACACAAATCAGGAATGCTTCCTCCACAGCACATTTTTGTGTTGCTCTGCATCTTAAGTAATATGGAAGTGCTCACCTGGAAGTTTCATGTTTGTCATATCATGTCCTTCTTGAGAAAAAAGAGGTACTTGTTTCTTTCTGCGTCCGGTACCCTTCTGCATTCTTAAGATGGCTGAAAAAACCATTAATGACAACTGAATGTAAGATGTGATGCATCTTACTTTCAGTTAAGATGTGATGCATGATGCCTTGAAAATGCATTGCCCCTCTCTTGCATGCACTGCCCACACGTCACAAGCACACCATCTGTTAAGGCTAATGTGGACTTTCATAAAGGTTCTCTGTACATTTGTATGCAACAATTGCCAGCGAGCACACACGTCGACAAGAAACTGGCCGTTTCTGTGTCGTGTAATACACTGATGAAACACGCACATCCACCATCAAATTACGATGTTCAACACGTATCGACACGAACACTAACCAGATTACACCAACGAGCCAACACTACTCAACCCAGTGCTGCGGGAACAGTGGATATCGTACGGTTCTGCTAAACGGAACCGCCAAAGACCGGAGTACGAAAAGCTGCCACCCTATCATCGGACAATTGAACAGGTTGCGCCATGTTACCTCCTCTGTTTCAAGGTCCGGGAGGATGTTTGTTCTGCACAAAACGAAGTGTGCAGAAATGACGTATTAAAGTTTGATACACAATAAACACAATACATGAAATTTTTAAATCCATAACATGTTTACTCATGTTGAAATCAAAATTTATATCACATAGATGATGTTGTCAAACATTTCTAGGTTACGGTTTGTTCACCCAAACATTCGCTTTTACCTTCCTGTTGTGAGCCCAAAGAGCTGCCATATTCGCGCACAGCCATCACAGTATTGGCCGAAGCTGGCCGTGCCGGCTTGCGCGTGTGCGAGAGGCCGGTGCGAAGTGGGCCATTAGTACAAGCCAAGGCCATTAGAGCGCTTTGGGCAGGGTACTCGGGTTAAGTGCATCGTAAAGGTTGGTTATAATTACTCGTTAACAACGCAGTGTCAGTCCGGACACATCAAATTGTTTGCATCGGAAAGGAACGGGATTTTGGAGCACTGGAAAGTCACTTTACAGTTACAATTTCCCGTCTGATCGTGAATTGGCTGGCGGGTGGTTCTCTTTACTTATTTCTTCACTTTTTGTTGAAGCTGACTAGTGAGCATTAGATAGCTGAGAATGTGGCCAGCAATTTTTTTGTGTAGTTTCGATGAATATTCTCAATTCTCAACTTGATGACCAATATATATTGGTCATCTGCAGACTGCCCAGTAGGTGATGTAGGTTATGTGGGTTGCTGGGATTGGGTGTAGCGTATGAAGTACTGATTCATTGTGGTGTTTTTTGCCTCAAGACTGAGAATTATCCCTAGGGCACAGAAGCAATACTTTAAACTTACCTGAAGACTGAAGTGCCCCTAGCGCATGGTAATACTGTTTCAACAAGTGGCAACACATTCATTAAAAGTTCAGTTGTCAGTGACTCATTTTGTAGATCACAAGGGTGTTCTTGGCAAATGAGAAGCTATTTTTGCAGGAATGGTGCAATTTTGTGGGAGCAGTGTTACAGCTAAGTATTGAATATACCTGGTACATCAAGTATATGGATATAGTGGTAAGGTCAGGGTTTTGGATTTCAAACAACCTGAAACCAAGATAACCACAATAAGCTGAGATTGAAGCTGAAGCTAGGGGGTTTGAAGTTTTTAACTGCAATGTTACATACACAGTCATTAAATTCTAAATTTGTGCATGTGAAGCCAAAACCACAGGTTTGGTGCCTTTGAAATAGGGAGCCAGAGCTGTACCCACCAATCTAGAACCACTCAACTGATGCCACACCCAGGGTTCATTGAGCAATCGAGATGAGGCTTAAGATTATAGATGGAAGATGATAAAATGTTTGTTCTGATAGAAGATTCATTTGTACTATCATTTTTACATTTGTGTTCACAATTTTTCAGCCCAGTTGCAGTTCAGCCATGGCCAGGCATCAATGGTTCCTGACAATGACCATTAGTATAGCTTTCAGTAATTCATACATTGCCTGCCTCAACAAATTCTGTGATGTGTTGGGTTGCCTGGGTATGTAAAACTATTTTTTTGGATATTAAGTTACAACTGCAGTTTTGTGATAAAGCTGAAGCCAGCAGTTCAAGATTGCATGAAACCCAAGCCAAAGCCATATTCCAAGTTTTAGAAGCAAATGCTTAAGCCAGTGTTAAACAGTGACAAAATTAAAGCCAACTTCTTATGGGATAAAATTGAAACCAAGGCCACTTATAGAAAATGGATCAAAGCCCAAGCAAAACCTATAGCCATTGGAGAAAATGTGTCTTGGTGAAACAGTTGATGGCTTAGTCCATTTTCCTGGCAAGGTTAAAACATTTTTTGTCAGACAAAAAGGCAGACTGAAAGTATTCTTACATCTGTTACAGTGGCCACAGTGCACTCAGCAATGTTTGCAGGCTTTGTCAAAACAATGCACTCAGGTCCCAATGCATAAAAGTAAGTTCATGTCTTGCTGTCTTGAGGCAGATGCTTAGCTTTACACCTTGTCTCAGGTATTGCACAAATCTAGGTTTTTGACATAAGCAGTTATTACATTAAAGTTGGTGACTGACATAAGTAGGTATTACCAACATCATATTATGGTCCTTTGTGTTTCAGGTTTCAAGTGCCTCACCTGGCTCTGGAGGGAGTCCACATACTGTTCCATCTGCTAGTAATCTAGAACTCTGACAAAGATGATGGCCAGCCTGCTGGGATCAAAGGTGGAGGAAAAACCACATGAACCAGAAAAACCTATTGATAGGGAGAAGGTAAGAGAGTCTCTGGAGGTCTTGACATGCACTTCTGTATGCAGCTGACATGAGACATTTTGCAGCATGCAGATACAAAATGTGATGAATGAGATAAGTAATGCCCACCAGGGTTGAAACTAATTTTTGGTATGTTCAATGACACAATTTTCATAGCAGACATGACATGACATGATTGGACATGGAGGACATTTTGCAACATGTGCATACAAAATGTGATGAATGAGACAAGTAATGCTCACCAGGGTTGAAACTAATTTTTGGTATGTTTAATGACACAATTTTATCAGCAGACATGACATGGCATGATTGGACATGGTTGGTAAACAGACAAATATAAAATATGCATAGGCTTACATTGGTGCCTAATGTTAAAAAAGACCATGATACATCAATGGTCATTTTTTAGACAGAACATATCACAAATAATGATAGAACACACATATCTATACTGTTACCTTTGAACTTAATTAATTTTGATAGCGAACATCCGAGCGCTGTAAGCAGAGCAACCGCGACCCCGGCACCACTGCTTTGTTATTGGTGTGTGATCACAACATTGCTACTCATCAAGAACCGTAAAAATGTATGGGGCCAAGGTAATAAGATTGTAATGAAATATGTTTCTTACGCATCCAAGCAGTCAAGCGATATTGCCTCATTGGAGTTGCATGAAGTGGGATCATTTTGTGGGATGAAGTGGGACTAAGTCATAAGACTTAGTATTAATGGATTTTGAGACCGAGGGCCCAGCCCAGCGCAGCCCAGCTTAATCACCTAACCTAACCTAACCAGCCCAGCCCAGCCCAGCCCAGCTGAATCTAATCTAATCTAATCTAGTCTAACCTAACCTAACCTAACCTAACCTAACCTAACCTAATCAGACCTAACCTTACCTAACCTAGCCTGGCCTATACCCAACTCATGCCTAACCTAATAAATCCAGTAATGCTATGTCCCTAAACAATCCCACTTCATACAACTCCAATGATGCAATATCGCTCAGCCGCTTGGATACATAAGAAACATATGTTACTGCATTCTTGTTGCCTTGGCCTCGTACGTTTTTATAGTTCTTGATACGCAGTAATGTTGCGACCACGAACCAATAACGTAGGCAATGGCACCGGGTTCTCGGTTGCTGTGTACTTGCAGCGCTCGGATGTTCGCTATTGTGATTAGTTAAGTTCGAAGGTAACAGCATATATGTACGTTTTATGATTATTTACGATATGTTCTGCGTTAAAAACGACGATGATGTATAAAGCTCTTTTTTAACATTAGGTACCAATGTATAACATGACCGGAAAATATACAGAAACAGACAGACACAAGTGAGCAGATCTTTTTAATGGCAATGCTGGGCAGACATGTTTGATGATGATATATGACCAGATTTATTTGTTGACCAATGCGCATGTTTCTCCCATGTACTGTTAGTGCAAGGCAAGGGACACATTTGGCGTGAAGTGGCGTGGTGAATTTGTTGCTTTGACCACGAATGTGGTGTGAATGTGGGCTTAATGCTCACATTTGCATAGAAAGCAGAACAAACTTGGGGGTGTCCACAAACTAGGCTACACATTTTTCAGCCCTTCCTCCCCCCTGCTAGTGCTGAATTACTCTCCCTGGTTAGGCTGTGTTGAGCACAATGTTCTAAAAGGTGGCATCTGTGTGACCCCTAGTTAATCTAGGGATGCTAAATTTTAAATGGGTTGTTCGTGGTTGTGAGAGGGAGCCATTTTGAGGTTTTTCAACAGCTTTGATCTGCTTTAGAACATGTTTTATTTTTTCTCTCTCTCTCTCTCTCTCCTCTCTCTCCTCTCTCTCTCTCTCTCTCTCTCTCTCTCTCTCTCTCCGCTATCGCTCTCGCTCTCGCTCTCGCTCTCGCTCTCGCTCTCGCTCTCGCTCTCGCTCTCGCTCTCGCTCTCGCTATCGCTCTCGCTCTCGCTCTCGCTCTCGCTTCGCTCTCGCTCTCGCTCTCGCTCTCGCTCTCGCTCTCGCTCTCGCTCTCGCTCTCGCTCTCGCTCTCGCTCTCGCTCTCGCTCTCGCTCTCGCTCTCGCTCTCGCTCTCGCTCTCGCTCTCGCTCTCGCTCTCTCTCTCTCTCTCTCTCTCTCTCTCTCTCTCTCTCTCTCTCTCTCTCTCTCTCTCTCTCTCCCTGGTTTTACTTCCGTTGCGCGTGCTATCACTCCCTCTCCCTCCTCCCTCTCCCAAACCTGTTTCAACCGTCTGTTCCAGACTTGTCCGCTGCTTCTTCGCGTGTTCTGCAACACGAACCGGCACCACTCGCTGGCGGAGTACTCCAGAGGCAACGTACCGGCCAATGAGCTTCAAATCTACACGTGGTGAGGCCCGATCTGGTGGCAGCCGCGCGGCCGTTGTGTTGGCCCAGGCCCGGAGTCGGCGCTCCCCCGATGTGATGTCCTCACCGAGGCGTTTGCGTTGCATTGGCGCATGATACCGCTGCACGGTCACGACTGGTGTCATACCCCGCTATGTAGTCACGACACCGCTGACGTCATGACCGGTGTCATACCACGCTTGTAAAGTCACGACACTGCTGACGTCACCACACGGCGTTTGGTCACCACTGGTGTCATATCTCGCCATGTAGGCACGACACCGATGACGTCACGACCGGTGTCACACCACGCTATAAAGTTCACGACACCGCTGACTTCACCATGCTACGTTTGGTCACCACTGGTAGTCATGTCCCGCTATGTAGTCACGACACCCATGACGTCGCCACGCGGCGTTTGGTCACCGCTGGTGTCATATCCCTCTATGTAGTCACGATACCGCTGACGTCCACCGCAGGGACCTTTGGTCACGACTGGTGCCACTTCGTACTGACAGTGCCATTTATTCGTTTCTGATCACGGCTGGTGTCATGGCATTACCAGTGTGATCGTTCGCTGCTTAGTTGCGACTGGCCCCATTTGCTTTCTGATAAGATAGGCCAACGCATAGCTCTTGGTAGGCTCAGCTACAAGTCACCGCTTATTATCGGAAGCCCAAGTATGAAGGGAGTCAGTTATGACCTTTGGTTATGTCAGGAAGAGGTGCGGTCTCCCCCCTGAATCCGCTACCGAGTAAGGAACAATAGCTGTTCGTAGCATTACGTCCCGGCTAATAACAATGCAACCACGTCCGGCTGCTAGCGAGCTGCATTTTACTTTCGATTCCCACAATTATGCCAGACAATCGTTGTCATGTCGTTAATCCCTTTGGATCATGAGCACCGCACCGAGCATCGTCGCGGGCGGCCCTGTGTCGCCGTCCCGAGCGTCTGTATCTGCGGCTGCCGGGGGACCGTTCGGGGGCCGTACGCAAGCACCGACCCGGCTTGGGCCGGGTAGGCGTCACTCATCGGCCGGCGTGTGCATGAGCCTCGAGCGTCTGTGTCTGCGGCTGCCGGGGGACCGTTCGGGAGCCGTACGCAAGCCCCGACCCGGCTTGGGGCGGGTAGGCGCTACTCATCGGCTGGCGTGCGCATGAGCCCCGGCAGCAGAGACCTGCGTAGAAGCGCGCCAGCGTGGCTCAGGTGTTAGAATGTCGCGAGGTGTGACCGTATAGGTGGATGGCGGTGCATTGAGCAGAGAACAGCGAGCGTGGCGTCTAGGCGCCTTTAAGCCCCGGCCGGGCTCGCCTATGTTTCGGTACTACTCCACCAGTTTGGGTGGGATGTGCCGTGACTTACAAAGTCTGCTCTCATAGTGCGTTTTCTTTTCGAGAGGGCGAAAGGCTGCTCGAATCCTAAAAGAAAAGGCTAGTACTACCTGGAGTTGATATTCACTTTGTTGTGTTTTGCCCATCTTGTTTTCATTTTCATGTACATCCCCATCAAACATTATTCCTTTTGTATGTTGTGCAACCCTTAACCACTTTGGCGTGTCTGCAGGTCCACCTTCGTCGAGTCGATGTTCGTTTTGGCTCATTTTCGGTTTACATTTTCCATTTACTCATCAGCCTCTGGAATGTTTGGTCCAGTGATCGGGCTCAGGTCCTGTTGCGTGGACAGACACGACCGGTGTCATTGCGGTGCGTATGGTCGCCGGAGTAGTGTTTATTCCGCTTCCACATGAACTGAATCGGTGGACAAATAACCGTTGAACACGACCATTATTTGAAATGAACTGGTATATCGGGAAACGTTTCCGCTCAACTCTCGATTCAAACAAATGGGTTTCAAATTGATTTTTATTTCTAATGGATTCTTAATCAGGCAAGTTCAGAATTTGGACCATTGGGCTACGCCTTGTTCGAACTTGGCCGAACAGATTGAGCGTCGCGAATACAAGAAGCCGTGGTTATACGTACCATGTCTTGTCAGAATGTTGGAGTGTGTACTCTAGAATTTTGGATTGTCTACTGTCAGGAGATCGGAATCTGACCTATCCAGGTTACCCGTTGGCTACCCGTGAGAAGTGTAATGGAGTTGGATCAAAAGAGCTTAGCAAGACAGTACCTGTCTTTTTAGAAATTGCTGCGTCCTCTGACACGAGGAGGGTTTATCGATGGCGGTTAACTTCACGAAATGAACGCATCACGAACACATATGTTGTAACCTTGTGTAAGTGTTTTCGTCCGTTTCATGGTAGGGTTGTCAAAACCTGCACGATGACCTGGATATTTGTTGTGCATCGCTGCTGCTATTTGGTCTGTGAATCGAACTGGACTTTAACTAATAAAGTGAGATTCTAGGCCTACCATTGGTTTTTGATAGACTCACACGACTCATCCGATCAACTTTATTAATCGAAATGTGGGCTGATTCTTAATTCGCTTCCAAATCTCGGTCAAATGAAATGCCGGCGGGGGACAACGGCCGGTGTTTTTCTTGCTGTCATCAAAAGAGGTGTTTTTCCGCCGTCTTCAGTACTGGCGTTTTGCTTTCGCCGACAACAGTACTGGAGTGTGCCTTGCCGTCACCAGTACCGAAGTTTTTTTTTTCTCGCTGTCACCAGTGCTGGTGTTTTTTTCTCACCAGTACCGGCAGTCACCAGTACTGATGTCTCTCTTGCAGCCACCAGCACTGGTGTTTTTTTTCGCCTTCGCCATTGCTAGTGTTTTGTTTTGCTATCACCAGCACTGTTGCCTTTCACGCTGTTTAGTATTGGTATTGTTTCGCCATCACCAGTACGCGAATTAGCTCCCTCCGTCATCAGTACCGGCATTGTTCCCCTTCGTCACCAGTACTGATACTGTTTCCGCTTGCACTTCGCGACCTGTGCTAATGGCCTCCATGTGACCACCAATGGTGTCCGCTGTCTGGTGATGGCGGGTGTGTTCTCTGTCGCGTGTCCGCTGTTGGTGTCGTATTCCTCCATGTCGTCACGATGGGCCCTGTTTCCGCCGTGCAATCATAACTGTTTTCATTCGTCGTTGTACGGCCATGGTTCGCAGCACATGGTTTGCATGGTCCGCAGCATATCCTATGTGGCCATGCCAGAGCGGGATGTTTGCCAATTGAACGTGTCCTGTTCACGAGTTGTCCGTCGACAGTTGACGAGTCCCTTCTACTGCGCGTTGGTTATGTTGTCCTCGCTTGTGCTGTGGGTACCGCCGGCTCGACACTGTCGGCGCCTCCTCAGGATGGACGCGACTCTGAAGGAGCTGACCTCGCTGGTGAAGGAGGTCAACCCGGACGCCCGCCGCAAGGGCACCTTCTTCGATTTTGCCCAGGTGTACCCGGAGATGGGTGGACGGGGCATGGGCCACCGTATGCGCGAGATCGGCTCCACCTGCTCCGGCCAGAAGGGCGCCGACGACGCTAAGACTCTGGGCTCCGTCCGGTGAGTAGTTCGATAGGCGACCGATAGATGGCATTGACTTGTCCCTGCGGGGCGGCATCTCGCTGGAATGGCGTGGAAATGACGATTCGTTACAACGTTTCGGAAATGATTGCGAGCGGCCGGATGTGAAAATCGTGACTACGAGCCTCAGAGAGCCTCAGACGACTGGCCGAGATTACTCTGCCCACCCTCGGGAGAACGGGGCCCAGGAGAGGGGGCTTTACCTCTGCAGTCGGTTGTTGCCACCGCATGGCACGGACCGCGTCGAATCGAGCCAGACCGACAGCATTGCCGTTTGCGGGATAACCAGCTGAGCTGGGGACAGTTAGGCGGGCGCGCGAGGTGTCGTTTGGTACGGTGGGTAGTCGGCGGACCTGTGCTGACGCCGACCTCCGCCCTAGGTTCACCATCGGGGACTACATGGACGTCGCCATCACGCCTCCCAACATGCGGGGCGGCCCGATGATGAGGAGGATGCGGCCGTTCTAGGCCCGCCCGGCTTCGGCTCCGGCTCTGCCAGTCCAGTCACGTGTGCCACGACCGGAGCGATGAGGCGGCCGTCGGGTGCGCTCGTTGACCAGCCCGCGGGCACGGAGGTGGCAGTGGATGCGGCCAGTCCACCGCGGCACGTCGCGGAGCTGGGGACTCGGAGGAGAACCGGACGTGTGTGCTCATCTCATGTGTTTGTGCTGGTGTGGGTGTGTGCGGGCACGGACAGGAGTTGTGTTCGACTCGCATCGCTGGAGATTGGTGACTGTGCGGCCTCTGGTGCATGGTAAATTGTGAATGGTTTTGATCGTTGTCATCACCCATTCTTATACACATTTTTTCGGAAAATAAATGGCCTAGATGTGAACCGCGCCGTGCATGACGCGTACAGCATATGTAACCAAACTTGCAATCGAGACCGGGTGGACATGGCTGGGCGCTGTAATGTCTGTACGCCAGGTTTAGCCCGTGCAGGCAGATTTAGCGTGTGCAGTCCTCATGCATCGGATTGAAACTGCAGGCGTGGAATCAGCACAACTGATCTGCAAGACACGACGATGGCCCTTTAGGGTCGTGGAACTGACTGCAAATCTCGGTATTCGCTCAGTTGTGTAATTATCCCGGGTCAACGGCTGGCAGTCACGCTACGGAACGCCAGCTTCAGACCGTGACACCGGCACTGTGGGCCTCGCCAGTTCCAGAAAAGACGTCCGGCTCTTCATTAGCCGCGGACGGCTCTGTGCCGAACTAACGGCGCCGCCCGCCGATGGGCTGAGAGCCGGTGCCGGCCACGCCCCGCCGCGTACTCCCGGGAATGGGTCTGTTTGGTGGAGACGTGCGTTGACAGACCGGTGTGCATGTACGGAGAACTCGGCCCTGGTCGTGAACGCCGAGGGGCTGAGGCCTCGGGCGGGCTACGGAGTTGGCCGGTATGGTGCGGCGCCGATCTTGCTGTCCTGCTTACCACGGACGCGCAGTAGAGTAGTTACTCGATCAGTGCCATCACTTTTGTGGCCTCGCATTTGGTCCAATGGTAAGTCGAAATTCGGTGCCACCTTTTCTCACGTGCTTAGTGTACACATGACCATTTTACAAAAAAGTCACTCCCGCAGACCGGTCGGTTAGTTAAACCTACGGCCACAAACTTCACTTTGTTTAAACGAGTTGATTCTCTTCGGCGAAAATAATTCATGGATGTGATAAATATAGCGGTATTCTTATTGTACGTAATACCATTAAAAATATCGGCGAAGTAAAACATCGTAACATGGGCTGACTCGGGCCGAACGCTTTGCGTTTCAATGCGTCTTCGCTCTGAAGTCCTTGTGCATTGTGACGGACAGAATTTGATGGATCGAATGAGTTCCGTTTACGATTTACCTGACACGTGTTTGAAATCGTCATTCCAGGCATTTAATCCTCCTCCCCAGTGCTTTCAAGCTAACGGCGGTCGGCTGATGGTGCTATGCATCTTTAGATGACGAACAAATAAACGACAAACCACGGGCCGTGTCGAGGAAGCAGACACTGGAGAGGCCCACCTGGCTTCTAGGTCAACGGCATTGCCCCGTGCAAGCGGTCTTTTGCGAACGAGTGTATCCTCTGATTAACGTGTGCAGCCCGGTCACGCCCAAACGCCGCGCGCACAAATCACTTCAATGTGCGGTGGCCATCACCGACGGCGGTCAGGGCCGCCACTTACGAAGGCTGCGCCTGTCACGGACGCTGCGCACTGTGCGCAATACATAACCGATTCCTGGATCGCGATCCGCCTCCAAGCTCCAAGAATCGGGCGGAACGCCTCGGGTATTTATCAGAAACGGGCAGAGGCGCACCCAGCGTGTCAGGTGGTGGGGAAATTGTGACTGAGTCGCGGAATGTTCAATTTCATCGGAAATAAATTTGACGCCGCAATTGCCATAATTTGCAGCTTAGGCGAGTTTATGTTGTTCAGCCCATCGCCAGAACAACCCAACTTTCCACTCTGGATACGCTGTTGTGGTTGTTCTGAAGGATTCGTCTTTCGCTGAAACGCGTCAGTCCGGCTCAACTGGTGGTGGAGCGAGTGTGGATTACGAGGTCTGCACGAGGAGCATCGTACTTTGTAGCGCTGTCTTCAGACCAGCTCTGTGGTTCTTGTGCTGTGGGATCTTCTTTAGTCCGTTGATATTAGCAAGAACTAACGTTTGATGCTTTGCAGTCGGCGGCGGCCTTGACGTGGGCAGGCATTGACGGTAATATTTGAGGAGAGCACAAAAGTTGTGTATTTTTGCTGAAAAAAATGCTGCAATATCATTGCAGCTGAAGAGACACTTATGGCTGGCTTGAGACGGAGTTGAAGTTGCAACCGGCAAGCGGTCTCTCGGTGCATGTTTGAGCGAGGCTGGCTGGGTTGGCTGCTGTAGGATCACTGCCAAGGTGAAGTTCGATGCCTGTCCAGACCAAAAGACTCTAAACCACAAGACGAAGTCTTAAGTATTAGACTGCCCTTCTGCCGTAATGACTTTTTTGTCGAACAGCTGTCGGTTGATTCGGCGTTTATTGAGGCCGTCTCATTCGTCTGTGGCTCTCGCGCGCATCCCGTCAATCAGTCCTCATTCACGTACGTGCACTATTTTAGATATTTTCTTGTCTGGGGAAGCGACTCAGTAATCTTACCCGTTTGGTAGTTGGTTGAAATGTTTTATTGAAAGCTGTAGATATGTTTCAACCTTTTTTTGACGATATTTTTATGGTGACAATGCACTGATAAAGTGATTGTGCTGTTATAGACCAGCTGAGCCATCTCATATCATTTGGAGTGTCTGAGAATCTGGTTTCAATGATCCTTCAAGCAATTTTATCACCTGGATTACTATATGATTGTTTGATCTGCCTAATGATTCATACTTGCCTTTAATGGCTCCACCTATGCTTGAGTTCATTTGAGCCACTTTTTGTAGCAATTTGCTGTTGTTTTCTGCAGCTGCCTCTCAGGCAAAGTGGGATTGCTTGTTTGTTGGCTTTTTGGTAGTTTAGTTAATTTTGCTGTTTTTTTTTTGCAAGTCCCAAAATTGATCTTTCACTATTCTTGTTTTATTATAGTGATGCTTATCAGTTTATGCATGAATGCAGGATTAAAGCCCACCTCAGATTTTAAGTGCTTCCCTGTGGTTGTCTTTGCAAATATTACATATGTAGGTCTCTAAAAATGACTGATAATGTGCGTCCAGTTCGCAGGTTTGCCACAACCATGGCTGGAAGTAACTTGCCAGAGTTTTGTTTGGACTATAGGAAATATACTGTTGAAATGATAAGCAAGCCCACATCAGAAATTATGAGCAAAGTCCGCAAACAGATGGATGAGATAGCTGCCGTGCCAGATGACAAGGTATGTAATCTGGTTGGTGTTGCAATTCTGCATTAAACCTTTTGTCTGCAGTGTAGATAATGTGACATTCGTGCAGCCATAGGTGTGCATATTTGCAGGCATTGAAGAAAAATGCTAGTCAGATGCGCATTATGTCCTTGCTTTGTGCTCTTCTTATGGTAGCAACCTTATTTCAGGTTTTTGGCAATAACTATATAGCGTGGCATGTGTCACTATATATTGTCGTTCATGGTTAAAGGGCCTGTTCTCAGCATGTGTATTCACTGTCTTCTATAGCCCATCATTTTAACATTTGTTTTTCTTTACTTTTGTGTTCCTCTTTGTTTTTATATTTTTGTGAAAGGTATTTGAGGAAAAGTAAGACACTGAATTTTTGTTCATTACAAATGAGGTGAATGGTAGGTGCAGGACTACTGATGAGTATGCACATGCAATGTTGAAGTTGGTTGGGGGAAGCTGCAAGGGAAATACAATTCACCAAGTCCTGCCAATCCTATTACTTCTCCCCAAATTTTGACCATTCTTAATGTAAAGGATAATTATTGAATTGAGATATTTGTGATCATTGTCAGCAATTTTCCTGGTGTGGGGTCAAATCAGAGCTTTGCCACTGGATCTATTCCCTTTTTGCATAATGAGTTATCAGCATACTGTAAGGCCCATGTCCTCAGACCCGTGTTGTCTTCTTTAATGATCACAATATCTCTCAAAGGGAAAAAATGATGTTGGAATTTCAGCAGTCTATATGCCTACATTTACCACAATGGAATTTGACCAGGAACTGAGGGCTATGAAATGTTTGACCCATGATCTCCAGCACTTTGAGGTAACTGCATTATTTGGGATGTAATGGCCAAGGGGATGTGGAGATAGGGAGGGCTCACCACCAGCACACTGCCTTTCATTGAAGCTGTCATGGAATTAGGAATAGTCATAAAAATATACATGTTTGCTTTGCATTTTCATATATTAATGACTGTATGGTCCTGTGCTGTCATGACATCCAGTTAACACATGCATAGGAAGGGGTAGGCAGGGGTCTAGGCAAACCCACTTCTATCAAATTTTAAAGTTCCTAGGTCATGTCTGTTGGGCCAGATAGGGTAAAACAAAGTCAAACTCCAGGCCATACACAAAGTGTTCTCAGACTCCCTCGCACAACCAGCTTTAGCCTAGATACTCTGAAAAGGCCTCTTTTGAAATACCTTTGGGAAACCGGAGGTACGGGGTTCTATTCCCCGCGGTGACTGCCCTTTCTGCCAGGGTTAGGGGCGGACGACGCCCTATAGCCTTAGGAGTTTGACGTGTCGCAAAGCCCCAGTGACGACGATGGTATTATTTAGCATTTTAGAAGATGAATATGACCGAAAACTTGCGAGGTCATTTTGGCATTTGAATTAACATTCGGCGCCTAGTAGTAAGTCGCGGGGCCACGCTCTCAAGGAAAGGGTTGATTTTGGTCAATTTAGGTCGGTGACCTCTGACCTTCATTGAGTCAAATTAAGGAGTCTTTTGGATTCAATGTGATCTAGGGACTCGAGATGAACGTCAAAAAATGTACCTTTAAGCAACTTCTCCAGTAATAAAACGGTTTGGTTTTGACATTGATATTGGCCCTCATACCTGGTCCAAGGTCAAAGTAGTTTGTACTATTGGTAATTTCGATTCTTATTGTCGGAGAAACTATCTCATAGTTGTATGATTTAGCCTAACACCCTGATGTTGTACCATATTGAATGATTTCCTAGGAATTGCCTTCGCTGACAGCTATAGCCTGAAAAGCCTGATGAAGGTCAGCGACTTTACGAGGGTAAGGTATGTTGTATAACAAAAGATAGGCTATTGAATGTAATATATTATATTATATCCTGGGCTAGCGTCATGACCGAATATGGGAATACAAGTAAACTTCTTGAACTTACTTATGAATGTATAAGAAGGTCATGAGAAGGGCCGAAACGCAAGCACACAACGATTATTGGCTCTGCGAACACCTCCAGCACCGTGTTGCCATCTCATGGCGTGTTTTAAGTACAAGTACACGGCTAGTTTGACAGCATTTCCACGTGATACACACGTTTCATGACGCAAGGATGTTTCATGACGCATCGACGTATTGAGTAGCATATTTACTCAGCGGATAAATTGTGTTGCCTGCACGAATATTTTCCCTTAAAAGTATCCCGCTGGTTAAAAGTGAGCTTATTGTATGATATTCGATGCTTGCCTTAGAATATTCAAGTGCGGACCATTCCCTTTAAACACACTGCTTGGGTGGGGCCAATTTGACCGTCCTGATTTCTAAAAAACTGAGAGAGCTCGGGACAAAATTCGCTGGGTGGGTGCGAATACCCCCAGCACCTTTTCTTTATGTGAACTCACTTGTGTCAAAATTGTATCATCACAGGTGATGACTTTGGAAAATTAGGGTCAAATTAGGTCACAATGAAGATTAAGCCTAGGATTACGGATACCTGTTCGAAGCAAAAGGTCATTGGCATTCTTTTGAGGCCAGTGACCTTGTTTTGCCTGTAGAAGTTCGTGGTGGCAAAAAAAAAACTGCGAAATCGTTTTGATTTTTGGTTGAATAAGCATGAAGCATCACACGTTCCCAAACACAATGATTGACCTGGGCCATTTTAGGTCAGCGTCGTATTCACACCTGACCCCAGGCCAAAGGAATTTGTTGTAATCCTAAATTCAGATTGTCTTCGTCTAACACTCAGTTTTTGCATCAAATTGAACGTTTCCCTAGAAATTGCCTTCGCTGACATCCGTGGCCTGAATTCGACCTGTCATATATCAGCGACATTACAAGTTACATCCAATTTTCATATACCAGAATGCCCACCGCTCGATCTCCTACAGCTATGAAAAGTTCCGCGCGGCTACGTCTGGTCGTTCGACAATCATGTTGTTAAACCTCAGGGGTCAAATTGACCCATTCGAGCGCGTGTTAAGCCTGCCAGCCTTCACAACAATAAGGCGACGTGTGTCGTTTTTAAAACTTCTGTATTACACGCTCAAAATGTTGGCATCGACGACTCAAAAACAACCGAATGCCTTGGAAATTAGTCACAAAGTTCACTGGCTGAGCGATGGGATCACTCGAATCGTTTTGTCTTCTCGTGCTTTGGCTTCAACGACTGTGCGGCTACCGTCATAGGCATGGTCCTTCAGTTGCCCCCACAGCAAGAAGTTGAGAGATGACTGGTCCAGGGAACGAGCCGCATCTCCCGCGTAGGATCGGCGAGTGGCCGTTTTACCACCCAAGCGACTCTGGAAACACCCTAATAATTCTTGCAAATAATGGGCTACGCACCCGTTCTGTTGAAGCCACTGACTGACTCGCCTTTGCGCGTGTGCTCGTTCTAGATGCCACCAGAACTTCCCCAAGGCTTGCATGTACCGCTACGTATTCACTGCAGCTGCGCGGTTCTGGTCTTCATTGAACCAGAATGGTTCAATAATATCTGTATCTGTCAATAATATGTGACAGTATCTTTAAACGGCGAACCAGGGATTGTCAGGGGAGTTTAGTTCCTGGTTGAGGTTGTCGATGCATTGCTGCCATATGGTCATACGTTTGCCCATGTTTTGGGTTCCGATTTTAAGGAACTCGCGTTTATGGTGTAGGGTAGGTGCAGTTTCAGTCTTCTTTAGAGCATAGATGACCCAGTCCTGGGCAATTCGAGTTCCTGGCAGCGACGGACGGGGATTTTGTCGGGCTCCGTGGGGCTGACGTCCCGGCGGCGGCCATTTTTGCTGGAGTTTTTTTTTAGTTTTGTAACTTTCCAAGTGAGTAGCCTTGCCTGATGCTGAAGCCGTAAGATTATGAACATAAAATCCATAGTAGGTGGGTAGGACGTTAGGGCTGGGATCAACTGCCCCCACCACCCGCCCCCAAGATATCAGTAACAAGAGAGCGAAAGACGCCAAATTTGCAAGATACGTAGAGCTCACTTACAGAGCATGTGAACGCACGTGTGCCGATTTATGAAGACCTTAGGTCGTGGTCTTTTGGTCAGATAAGCTTGAGTAAAGTCAAACGCCAGATCGGCGGTCCTCAGATCTTGTCACGCAACTAGCTTCAACCTAATTAACTCGTATAAGAAGAATGTTTATGTCAGGTCAGTAATCCTATTTGACCATTACTAAGGAAAAATTGTCTTGAAATTATTTTGATACTTGAGTCTACCATCTGTGTTAATGTGGCATGGTGTCTCATATTAAGCGGCATGCCCCCCAAAACAAAAGGTTGATCCAGGCCATTTACATCAGTGATCTCCTCTGACCTTCATGAAGTTAAAGCAACGAATTTTCTGACGTCGGTGTTACTCAGGAATTCGAAATGAACGTCAAAGATTGCCGGCTAAAGCACGTTTCCCAATAACAAAGCGGTTATGTTCCGACTTTGATCTGATCGTTATACCCGACTTGTTAAACAACTCATCCTAAAGCTGTATGACTTCGTCAGGCACTCTGTTGTCGTATCATATTTAATGATCGCCTGGGAACCTCCTTCGCTGGCAGCCATGACCTGACTTTACCCTTATGTAGGCCAGCGACCTTACGAGGTTTATGACGAGGGAGAGAGAGAGAGAGCGAGAGCGAGAGCGAGAGCGAGAGCGAGAGCGAGAGCGAGAGCGAGAGCGAGAGAGAGAGAGAGAGAGAGAGAGAGAGAGAGAGAGAGAGAGAGAGAGAGAGAGAGAGAGAGAGAGAGAGAGAGAAAAATACTCACATTCCTTTGTCACAAAAGTTTGCACATTTTGCAATACTGTGGTTGCAGCCACAAAAACTTAAATTGTTGCAAGTTGACCGATTTCTGAGTTCTACATGTCAAGATAGCTTGGCCGAGCTCATGGTGTGCTAATTTTCGAGCCATGTGGTCATTAACCATTAGCGGCACGCTTTTCATGAAATTGGGATATTTTGATGGAGTTATGAGTCAAATGTGTGTGTATGGGTTCTCTCAGTCGACAGATCCGCTTATATTTTGGTATTGCATGCGTGGTGATGACTAACGCATTTGTGACCACCCTAGCTCTTTACACTCTCAAAGGACTCGTACTGGGGCATAAGATAGCACCTCGGGCTTCCTAGTGGCAGAACTGCTTTGCCACCCAGTGTATCTACATCTTGGATCACTACGCAGCGTGAAAGCCCACTGGGACCACAGTGGGTGCCTCCTGATACTCCACCAGTAGGCCACCTGTCCGGTCGGTTGTGGGGCTCCGTGGTTGGCCGGCTGGCGAATGTTGAGGATTGACGTGTCGCCGATAGGCGCCGTGCGGCCCGGCGATTGGCCGGCTGGCAGGTGTTGAGTACTGACTGTCACCGATAGGTGTCGCACTGCTCGGTGAATGGCCGGCTGGTGGTGTTGAGGACTGACTGTGTCGCCGATAGGTGTCGTACGACTCGGTGATTGGCCGGCTGGCGGACATTGAGACGGAGCTGGACACGTTTACCAGCTGCACAGCCCGCCTGCCGGCCGCGGCCGCCACCGAGAAGGCCGTGCGGGACGCCGCCAGCGAGGCTGAGAAGGCACTCGAGAAGTTCAGCATCGAGCTCAGCATGCGCAAGGACATCTTCGACAAGGTGAGCTTCTCCGGACTAGTGTTTTGCTGATGATAGGTGGTAGACAGTGGCCATTAATCTGGCCGGGCAACAATTGTAGGCATATTTACACTTGCGCTACACATGAGGCACAACACCTATTCGTCATGTAGGTAGTGGTGAAGATGTGGCACGATGAAACTCAATAGTGTTAGCTGTAATAAACGAATTATAGCTATCTATAAATATAATAAATAAATTAATATCTAATAGGAAATAATAATAAATAAATTAATTTATCACGGTAGATTGCTACCACCTCACCATTCCAAATGGCATGTATTCCATGAGTGCGCACGCGACGACGCTCCACGGCTAGTTTCGTGCCGATAGGGTCAACGCGACGCGTTAAAGTCGTCAAACGTCAAAACTGGCGAACAACTGTCCAAAACCGTGGCCAATCAGAGCAAGAGGAGGTCGGAGCGGTATTAAATTTGCACAGGTCGACAGAGAATCAAATGGTGAATAGGTTGTGGGCAGGTTTGTGGTGTCGCGTGGCAGGTGTCACGTGCACGCGAATTGGACAGACGAAATAAGCTGTTTTTTTACGGTTTTGCGTTTTGAACCGCATCTCTGCACCCAGCGCTGGTAGAGCCGCGAAGTAAGTTTCAAGACATTGGGAACTTTACTGGTTACAATTTTACTGCGCATCACAAGGTTGTGCAGCGCACAGCTATGCCGTAAATCACCGAAAAATTCGCGACTTTTGGGATTTTGAAAAACGTCACTGACTTCTAGACGCTAAAGCCACTGCCAATACTAGATGTCACTGAATACAGAACTGTAAACATGTTGGCATCAAGTTGGTGTTATAAAAAATTTTACCAACTTATTGGCGGATTCATTCTCTCTTTTGTATCATTTGTATTTTATTTTTTGCAGCACTTTTCTCACAACTAAACTTAGGGTGGTTGATTGTGTTGCAGCTTTTTGCGCCGCAATGAAAAGGTGCTGTCCGATCTTTCGGCAGGTCCCGTATAGTTTTTTTTTTAGTTAGCAGAATGGCTGCCTGTGCACGCGCGTCTGGGATAGACTGCCGGCCCCAAGTTGTTTCACAGCCGGTGAAACAGGTGGTGGGATTTTGCTTCTTCTTTCATCTTCAGGTCTCATCGGCTTGGCCGCATGACGATGTGTCAAGGCATTTGTGTGTGCGATGTAAACATTTACCTTGGGTTTTAATTGCCGCTGTATCCATTTGCTTATGTTGACACTTTTCAAAATTATTAGCGTGATATGCCTGGCGAGTGTATTGACTTGCCTTAACCACAAAGTTTCGAGTGCGGCGGGACGGGTGGTCAGCGTCACTGCTCTATCTCAGTCGAAACGGCGAGTGTCCCGGACATGGTGACAGGCGGCTTTCGATGACTTAACGGCTTAGCCGGGTGGATATGCGGTTCTCAACTTTCTTATTATATTGGTCAAGGTAAAGGCGATATGGGATTGAAGCTAGACGAAGTACCCATCAAAGCATAGGAAGGCTATTCTCTCGAGGGCAAATGATTGTTTTTGTATCCATGGTATCCATTCACCTTTGTTGCCGGTTAAATCGTAAGGTATATTAGGGTGTCGATAGTATCGATATACAAAGGCGAGTTTCCTGCTTCACATGTCCTGGATGAGCGAGTGATGAGATGCAAGAATCTGGCTAATTGGTGAGTGTCAAAGAACCAATCAAATAATCTTAGCAGTCGCCCAGTGAAGCGGACGGGCCTCACTTGTCCAAGTAACCATTTGAGTAGGGTTTGTTTGTCGTCTTTTGCCTTTTGAAACATGTGCAGGTCAAACGGTGGTTTGTTTAAAGGGAAATTTTGACACGGTACACGCGCGCACAAAGCGACCTACCACGGCGAGTTTCGTGTCTGCGCGGTCAACGGTTGGCGCGTGGCTCTTGTTGCAAATTGCTCTTTTAGACCATTGCTTCTGCAGGGCGGGCCGAAAGAGCGACCGGCTCTGAAGCCGGTGAGCGGCCGTTCGAAACTGCGATAGCGGCGCATCGTTTTGCACGGGTTTTCACGCTTGATAATAGCTGGACAGCCAAAGAGGGTAGAGGTGTGAATCTCAAATATCAAATCGTTGACCAAAGCACCTTGTGCAATATATGTCACCAGCACGAGCTCGTACAGCGCACGGCTCTGCCGATTATCTTCGAGCAAATAGGAAAATATCGGGTTTGCTCGAATGCCAACTAAATACCAACATTTAATGCTGGGATTTCGAAAAACTGCACAGAATACAACACGAAGCTACAGCAAGGACAGTGGCGAAACAATACAAAGACAAATCGTCTGTAGAAGCTCGGTCGCTTAGCGAAATAGGGCTGCAAACACTTGTCTTCACCAGTTAGATCCATTGTTCGACAGCGCACTTTTTTTGCAAACCTTTGAGACTGGTTTGGGACTACTGCGGTTTTTTTCGGGATGTCGTGAATGGTTAGAAGATGGTTTTTGATACGAACGCATCTCGCACCTTCGAAAATCGCATCATAGTTCCCTTGGCTGTTTGTTTGAGTGGTCTTCCGCGGCTGGCGGTGCACCCTGCGGAGGGCCCACCCTTGGCTGTGACAGGGTTGGTTTGTGTCTGCAGCTGGTGACCTTCAGTAAACAGACGGAGCTGTCCAGCTTACACCCGCAAACGAAGCGCTACGTCGAGAAGCGAATCCTGACGGGCAAGAGAAACGGCCTGCATCTGGACCAGGAGACCCGCGACAAACTGCAGGCAAGCCGGCTGGCGCTCGGTGCCCGGTGGGGCGGCTCATGGGTAACGCTCGAACGAACACGCGCATGCGCCGCGAAGATTGCATACCTCGCGCGCCGGCACTGAGGCGCGCGTCGTCACACCTTTGTCACGAGCGCATCGGCTCCCAGCTGTGAATGGCGGCCTGGTCTGGGCTCGCTCCGGCCGGCTTTGCCCGGTCACGTCTTTTGATCGGATAAATGGCCGACTGGAAACGGTGGGCACCGCTGTAACCCCCCCCCCCCCCCCCCTGCGGCCGCAGGGGCTGCGCACGCGCATGTCGGAGCTTACCATTGAGTACATGAAGAACTGCAACGAGGACGACACGTGGGTGCCGTTCACGGACGCCGAGCTGGCTGGCGTGCCCGACACGTTCCTGCAGGGCCTGGAGAAGACTGACGACGGCCGGCGCAAGGTCACCGTGCTCGCGCCACACTTTATCGTCCTCAAGAAATGCTCGGTGGGTCCGCGCGGTCGTCGGCAGTCCGCTGACAGGCGTCGGGGCCCAGGATTCAAACTGAGGATGTTCGACTTTGTTTATGGCGTGTGTAGAAGGCTCATGTTCCACGGCGATGTTCATTGGTTTATGTCATCCTATGTCGCCTTAGCGTCTTAGCGTATGCCGCCTTGGCGGATTCCAGTGATATCGTGCGATCGCGCCGAAAATTATCATTGTGGGGGCAGTTATGTACATGCTATCGCAACTCTCCCCTAACGTACACTTTTTCGTAATTTTCGTATTTCATCTGAATCGTTCGCCGTTATGCAAGGTCATGGCTCACATCCGTCGATCCTGCTGGATAATGCCGGAAAAGTCCCGCTGGCCTTTCTCATGCCGGCGTTTATTCGACTGGTACCGCATTCGGTCCCGCCACATTTTAGTCACCTGATGTTAGACTCCGTAGAAATTTGGAAAAAACAGGGACGAAGCCGATCTTGTGCCGTCAGAGCGTGCAAAATAGCCGGTGAACGCTACTCTGGAGGCACTGTCCCGTCATCATGTGCTGCTTCGGCATGTGATGTTTGTGTGTTTGGTCCCATGGGTGCAAATCATAGAGTACTACTGCAGATGGAACCTGAGCAATATGTAGCGACAATGAAGCAAAGGCGCTCCGTTGTAAAAATGTACGGCTAGTTTACTAGCCCTGACGCGAAAAAGCTGTGGATTGCTTTCTTAAGCTGGTGCATTACTGAGCAATCCAGAATTGGTACCAAATTAGGTCATTATGTAGCGGTGCTTACGCTAAAGGGGCTAGTTTGTATGAGTGTGTGTGGTCGCACGTGTGCTGACCATGTCTGTATGTGGCTTCTGCGGCGTCGCTGCGTCGGGCCGCGCGGTGCCGACACTGTCTCACCGGCGCGGCGGCGTTCCCAGGTGCCCGACACCCGCCGCAAGCTGGCGCACGCGCGCGCCGCCAAGTGTATGAAGGCCAACACGCCGCTGATCGAGGAGTTCGTTCAGTACTTCCACCAGTTCGCAAACCTGCTCGGCTACGCGACCAACGCGCATTACAAGACCGAGATAAAAATGTCGAAGACGCCGGAGACGGTGACGACGTTCCTGAGCGACCTCAAGGAGAAACTGCAGCCGCTGTGGGCCGAGGAGCGGCGCCTCTTCCTCGAGTACAAGGAGGAGGAGTGTCGGCAGGCGGGCGTGCCGTTCGACGGCCAGATCCACCTCTGGGACGTGTCCTACTACAGCGCCATGGCCGAGGAGCGCAAGTACGCCGTTAACCACGAGGCGCTGCGCGACTACTTTCCCGTGGACCGCGTGACACGGGGCATGTTCGACATATACGAGCGCCTGCTGGGGCTGCGCTTCAGCCGCGTGCAGGGCGCCGAGGTCTGGCACGATGACGTCACTCTCTACCGGGTGGAGGAGGCTGACGGCGGCCAGCTGACGGGCTACTTCTTCCTGGACCTGTACCCGCGGGACGGCAAGTACGACCACTTCTGCGTCGACTCGCTGCGTACCGGCCGCCAGCGCGAGAACGGCTACGAGCTGCCCGTCTGCGTCATGCTAGCCAACTTCCCCAAGCCCACGGCCGACAAGCCGGCGCTCTTCAGTCACGAGGAGGTGGAGACGTTCTTCCACGAGTTCGGCCACGCCATGCACTGCATCTGCTCGCGTGCCCACTACACTCTGTGAGTTGGGCCGCGCTCCCGACCTGCCGTAATCGGTGTTGGGCTTGGGCTGACCTGTGTCCGTCTGGTGCGCATCTGCATATTTCCCATAAGGCTGTAGTTTTTAACTTAGAAGGATATGACACAGCCCTGGGTGGAAATTGATCTCCAACTTTGCTCTGCAGGAATGGTGGCAGCCTTGGCATTTTCGGTGCCCAGGTATGTGCTGCTGTTCCGGCCAATGCTAACGAAATCAGACGCGGGTGATCACTTGCTGATGAGCAACATTCTTCGTTCTTCAGATTTGGGAGTCTTTAGGTGTCCACCATAAATGTGCTTTCTGCATTTGGTTCCGATCGTCAGTCGCGTGCAATACGTGCGCCGAGTCCCGGGCGGAGGGGTCGGTGGGAGTTCGTGGTTTGCCTTGCTCTTCGCCCGACCGCGACATACGCCTAAACCGTGCCCGTGACCCGCGCCCCGTTCCCGCGTCAGTTGCGCTCTCTGGCGACCTTACATCCTTCCCCACCGCTGGCAGGTTCGCCGGCACCAGCGTGGAAGGCGACTTCGTGGAGGCGCCCAGCCAGATGCTGGAGAACTGGGTGTGGGAGCCGGAACCGCTGGCGCTCATGTCAGGCCACTACCGGGACGGCGCGCCCATCCCAGCCGAGCTGCTCGCCACGCTGGTGCGCTCGCGCCAGGCCAACAGCGGCATCTTCAACTTGCGCCAGGTGGCACTGGCCACCTTCGATCAGATCATCTTCTCACAGCCCCGCTCGGACACGGCAGCTATCTTCGGCCAGGTGTACCGCGAGGTGACGGGCATCGAGACTATGCCCGACACCAACTTCGCCGCGTCGTTCGGCCACATGGCGGGCGGATACGACGCCAACTACTACGGCTACCTCTGGAGCGAAGTCTACAGCGTCGACATGTTCGAGGCACGCTTCAAAAAGGAGGGCATTTTGTCGCCGGAAGTCGGCAGGGACTACCGCAAGTGCATCCTGGAGCCCGGTTCCACAATCGACGCCTTGGACATGCTGAAGAAGTTCCTGGGTCGCGGGCCCAGTCCGGAGGCGTTCCTTCGAAGCAAGGGACTTGCCGTGTGACTCCCCGGCCGACCCGCCACTGGGCTCGCAGCGCAGCTTGACGACCGTTTTGTTGCCGGCACATTGTAATCAGGTCTAAATACCTCACATAGTTTCCGAAATGCCACGGACATTGCGCTAGCCTGCAGTATTAGTCGCCCGTTGTTTTGTTTTCCTGTGTGCTGCTGCGACGCTGGGCGTCGCGCGCCTCCGCACTGGCAGGCCATGTTGGCTCCGTTTGCATTCAAGGGTTCTGGTTGTGTTTTACATGCGGTGGTTGTTGGTCGTCACTACGATTACGGTAATGCTACAAAGCACCTAAAATACAAATATTACCATGTTTGGCCGGCTGGTTTTTGTCGTGAGGCCATTGAACGACAGTGGTTTTTGGTAAAAGATGACGAACATGGCTGGAACTACAGAACTGTTGGTATATAGATCATTGCCCGGAATATTGGTAGATATTTAGATCGACGTAGTACGATCTTAATCAGTTTAGAGATATTTGGGATCCGCCTTATTGTGGCTTTTCCCCCTGCCTCATCACAGGCATTGGACGCCGAAGAGAATCCACATGCCCACTGCATACCTCGGCAAGGGCGGGGCATCATCTCGCTGGTAAGCGGCTAGGCCGTTGGCCAAGTGTCAGGGATCCAACAGTGGAAGACAGGTGAACGCCGGAAGGCTGCGAATGGCTCACGCGAGCCGCTTGGAAATTGACCGTCGCGCGAAATCTGCGCGTACTCGGGCCAAGAGTAGCAGAGAACCGCCAGCTGGGCTCCGAGTGACGCGGGGACATCGAGGCACGACCGCTCGCACGCTGCGCCACGCCGCGGGCCCACGGATGTTCCACAGAATGTTCCGCATCATCATACCCCGCACTGTGATCTTATCTAGTTTTCCAGCCCAACCCAACTCGGGCAGCGCGGGAAGACGCATGGTTGTTAAGAGGATGCGGGCAGAGGATGCTGAACTACGGTGCGGCCATCATAGTTCCGTTTTTAGCCCTCTGTTTCTGTGCAGCTGATCAGCCACTCCAAACATTCCGGAAATAGCGAAGTTGGGAAGTCATCAGCATTTCAATCATCATCCTCGTGGTCTGTGTTGTTACGTGGTGCTGCATTCGGGCCATTGCAATCAGAATGCCGGGGCAATGTTGCCTGATATTCGATGTGACTTTCCAAGCTGTGGGTTGACTTGGTACGGACTGCTAAAATCCTGACGCAAGGTTTGAACTCGTCATAACTAATTGTGATTCAGCGCCAGGTTAGCGTGACATAATCAGATTTACTTCTGTTCTGGAATTGTAATGAAGCTACGCCTTTCTAGGCTTGGAGACCCTTCAAGCGCGCTTTATTCGCACCCTATTCGATCGCGTGCACCGGTGGCTGCGGCAGTGGGGTGAGAACGATCCCGGTTGGCGACTCCGTACCAGGGCCGCTCAGCTGGCCGGCGAGGTCGGCCGGCGCTCGGTCGGAGCCCCGCTGAGTCGTCTAGTACGCATGAGTCATCGCTCACCATCATACCGCGGTGCATTCTCGTGGCGCGTTTTCTGTCACCCTGCGTTCTAATAGGACAATACCAATGTGCGCCTTGACTTGACTGGTTGCGCCTGCTGTGACGTGTGTGACATGTGTGGGGTGAGCCCCGGTCGCGAGGCGTGTGACGGAGCAGTGTCCCCTGGGGACTGGGGAGTGGTCGTCAGCGGCGTGCGCGAGGCAGCCGTACGTCGCTGGTGCCGGCCGGCTCACGAAGCTGTGCGGCCCGGTGAACAGAGACACTGTTGGGTCGGCGTGGCGGTGATGACGGCTGCCAGTTTTGAGGCCCCTGGTTGGATGCAAGCGTGCTGAGCCTATATAGGTATTTGGTGAGGCACTTATTCACCCGCGGAACGGCGCTCCATCCGACACCATCGTTCCTTCACGACAAACAGGTTTATTTTTAGAATGTTCTGAAATCGTTTGATGGCTCTGAGGAAATCACTTCAGTGATACTGTAAAGTTTGTCTCAGCATTAACCCGACCCATTACGAGTTTTTAAGTTCTGAGCTTTTAGCGAATAGATCAGCATCAAGAAACTGGAGCGGAGTGCTGGTTCGGTTCCGAATCGACTCTGTATGCGTAATATGCCTCGCTGTTCCTTCGTGCGACCAAAATAACGTAAAATTGCATGGGAAAGAGGTTTTGGTGTAGCTCTACACCCGTAAAAGTTTTGTGCGTCGTAAGACGAACAGGGCGGTAGCAGACCCCAGTGTTCCCATTTAAAAATTATCAAGGAGATGTTACGCGATACTAAAAACCTAAGCTATTGAAGCCAGACACCTCCGACCACGAGCCCTCCGTCTGGTGTTAGCCGCGGCGGCTGAAGCCTCCCGGCTGTGCGGAGCCTGCAACACTGAGCGTCGTTTGTGCTCGTTAAGTTTGCGAGCGTGCGTGCTCAAGACTTTTGCGCTATTCGATCCTGGAACAGCCGTGATATTTTCAGGCGGGTATTTATTGACAAGCTCAATAAATGTCTTATCTTGTTTTGATCCATCTCATTGAACACCAAGAAAACCCTTCTGCGTTTATCGGGCAAGGGACCCCATGGATAGAACTGTAGGCATCATATTACCTCACCTGGCCAGAGGGTGAAGAGCCTTTCCGTCCCAGCCCGGGGTACCTGCTGGCCGTCAAGACGACAAGGGGGTCGGGGAGGCCTGTTCGATCCAGAGGCCTTCAGAGGGATATATCAAACATCGGCCCCCTCCCCGACGCGGGGATGCTCTGACCTGACCGGGACTGTTGGCTCGGGATCGACGCAAGCAGTGGTGCAGCCAAGGGGGCCATAAAGTTTTGACCCTCCTCCCCTCCCGTCAGGTTCGTGGACAGTTTTTCACTACGACACTTTTGAATACAATTTCGAAATCTGGTCATCAGGAAAACTATTATGGTTTTAGATCTCGCAAACACTACCGTAGGCTGCGCTCGGTATCCGGGAGTATCGGTATAGGAGTCCAACAGTCGCAACCTAGCAACAAGACCAGCGGATAGCCGAGTGAACACGTATGGCACGCAGCTGAAACAGTTGTTTAGGGCACCAGGGCAAACCAGCATCGATAGCTCATTAATACGGTAGGTAATGTACCTATGTATGACCATTTGAGGGTCTGTCAGTCTGTTTGCAGGGAGCAGGTACTGGCATTGGGGCTGGGGTTCTCTCGTAAACAAGTCCCCCTCCTCCAGCCAATGCTGGCTGCACTCCTGGACGCAGGGATGTGATGACTGATGTGCTGATGTGATGACTCCTGACCCGAATGTGATCCACTCAGCGACGTGACGCGAGCACAGCGGGTAGGTGATGACTGATGTGATGATGGGATGACTCCTGACTCGAATGTAATCGACTCAGCGGCGTGACGCGAGCGCAGCGGGTATGTGACCACTGATGTGATGATGTGATGACTCCTGACCCAAATGTGATCGACTCAGTGGCGTGACGCGAGCACAGCGGGTATGTGATGATTCGACCACCTCCTAATCACGCTTTAAACTCCAGGCACGAAAGGCATTGATTTGAACGGCCAGGACAGGAGAATGTCACCGAGTGGTCTTTTGGAGTCCTAGTAGTATCGCTCTAGTATTCGTAGCAAGGTAACCCTCCCGATGTGAGGAAAGTTCAGTATGGTGTTGATAGGAAATAGGGACTCCTTGGTGAAAACCTTTGCGAAGAATATATTTTATCCAGCCAGAAGGTTGGTCAGATAGGGGGAACTGTCCTTTCCTACCCGACGATGGAGTGGGACATGTCCTCCCCCCCCCCCCCCCCGCTCTCCGGTGGCGCCGCCCTCGGTTATTTCTGAAATTCATCAACTCCTATTGCTCCCGGCCCCGGTCCCTTCTCGGCCGCGATCACTCAGATTCAGAGGCTATCTGGCCCGTTCACCGCTCAGATGCAGAGGCTGTCTGGCCCGTTCACCGCTCAGATGCAGAGGCTGTCTGGCCCGTTCACCGCTCAGATGCAGAGGCTGTCTGGCCCGTTCACCGCTCAGATGCAGAGGCTGTCTGGCCCGTTCACCGCTCAGATGCAGAGGCTGTCTGGCCCGTTCACCGCTCAGATGCAGAGACTGTCTGACCCCGGCCACTTCTCAGATTCAAAGGCTATCTGGCCCCGGCCACTTCTCAGATTCAGGGACTTTATCTTTGAATACATGGGTTTCTGGGATCAGAGAGCCTTTCCATCACAACTTTAAGTCTACACTCACGTAATTCGTGCTCCAGTGCGTTTACTTTATCCCATTTTTGTGAAATATCCCTAGAGCTCGAGTTTTTTCCCGATCTGAGAGGCCTTTCTGAGTCTAGGATAGACCGTTTGCAGACCTGAAAGGGATTCTTCGTGAGCCCACAATGTGCCTCTCCTGATCGGTCAGAGATGGGTCACTTTCCAGCCTAAAACTTGCACGTCGGCTTCTGCCGTGAAATGGATCCTTTTTGACCTATGGCGAGCCCCTATTGATTCTGAGATTCGATAAAAGGTTGGTCGCATTCTCAGAAAGGGGCCCATCAGGTTCGAAAAAGGTCCATCGCTGACGTTGGATAGGGTGTTTTTCAAGTCAGGCATGGCGTAACGACACATATGATGACGGTCCTGCGCTAGATAGGGAGGGGTGCAATTTTCCATTTAGGTGAGATGGGCTTCAGTTCTCCTAACTTCGGCACCAGTTTTGAGAAAAAGTGGGCCGGTCGAAAAGCCACTTGTTGGCGTACTTTTGGGTTACATTTTTTTTCTCATTTTTCATTGTTCCCCAGCTCATTTTTCGAAACTATTCTCCGCTATCTGGGGGTCTTCTGGGTTGCGAGTGGGTGCAGTTTGGTCTGGCCTAGCAAGGTTGATAACGACGATATCTAAACATTTAGATTACGGGATATGTTTGTCTGTCTGTGTACATTACATTTACGTCTACGAACATCCACCACATGAGCACTAGTGTTTACGAACATTCACGGTTTGAGCTATTGAAATGCGTACATTAGCATTGCCGAACAATGGCGGTACGAACATCTGCATTCACAAACATTTGCGTTTGCTAACATCTGCGACATGAATGAATGTGATGCGAACATTATCGGCAACAACATCTGTGCTTACGATCAGCGGCGATGCAAATGACAACAGAACGTTTTTCGTATATTGGCGGTAACAGACATTTACATTACGATCATCTGCTTACGTACATTTGCCAACGAGCATATGCATTACGTACATATGCTGCATTTACATGCATCCCTTTGCCCCATATTTTGACCTCCCAAGGCCAAGGAACGACCCTGAAACCCAAAGAGTTCGATTGATTGATGACGAAGATGGGCAGACTTCCACATTCATCTGGCGGAGCGGTCCGACAGCACATTTTGGAACTAAAAATCTATGCCTCAGTTATGTACTTGCTGCAAGGTTGACACAATGTTGATACGATATGACGTTGACACGCATTGGCGATTGGCTTAAATCGTTTCCGCCTGTATGACTTAGAAATGCACCGCGTATGGCAATTAGCACAACATCCAGATAAAGAAATCGGAATGTCAGACTTTGAACGGTCCTCAATATCGAACTGTGACCTCGGGCAGTTTAGAGACGTATTCATTCCACCTTAACCTTTCATTCATGTTAGTCATAATCAAGAGGGTAGCCAATATCGTCCCCAACTTGACGGCCAATAGTTTAATGATGCCGGTGGAAGGCTGACATGAGCTCGTTGCGGCGCAGCAGCGTCAGGCATCAGGCGGTGCGGAGCCGGCCAGCTCTGTGCACCGACGGCGGGCGAGCCGATCAGGAGGCGGCTCTGACCGGCCAGCTCTGTGCACCGACGGCGGGCGAGCCGATCATGAGGCGGCTCTGACCGGCCAGCTCTGTGCACTGACGGCGGGCGAGCCGGTCATGAGGCGGCTCTGACCGGCCAGCTCTGTGCACTGACGGCGAGCGAGCCGATCAGGAGGCGGCTCCGGCCGGCCAGCTCTGTGCACCGACGGCGGGCGAGCCGATCAGGAGGCGGCTCCGGCCGGTTCGGCTGGCCAGGTGCCAGCTCAGCGCTGAACAGGCTGGCTAAACTCGCAGATGCGCTGCATTGGCTGCCAAGCCCAGACTTGTTTGTGGATTGGGCTCGCCGGCGTGAACCGGTACTGATCCCGAGATAAGTTGATGGGTTGGATTTAAGTTGTGTTGGGAGCCGGTGACGAGGTGGGTTCACTGACGGGCTATTAAGAAGTTCCAGCGGCTATTTGGTTGGTGATAAAAATTAGCTGGTCAGATCGATCGGCAAGCCATGCCCGGCAGGGACATGGCCAGAGTCTTGGTCAGGGAGAGGAGGGCACCAGGGCTGGCGAAGGGCCCTGCTGTTGAAAAGGCTCTGACTTCTCTGAATCCGTGGGATTCGGTTTTGTTCGCTTATGTGTACGTGTGTATGTTTATGTGTATCTGATTTATATGAAACAAGCCAGAGGTCGACGATAAATGAAGTTCTATACGCAACTATCTAGAAGTGAACAAACTGCAAGATATATGCATTCAACGACTGCATGGAAGAAGGCGCAGGCGCAGTTTATTTTACAATGGCTTAGTGCTCTCTAAACTGAAAACAAAGAGAAACTTTGCTGGAATTTGTGTTGAGGTTTAATAGCGATGTTAAAGGCCATGCGGATGACAAAAACGACCACACACCGGAAGAAGTACCTTTTAACGCCCCGTGATATAAATTGGTGCCTTTTGAAGGTAGTGCAGACCGCATGTTTCACCTATATCCTCTTCAGATTGCTGTTGAGGACTGGTCTGGACGTTCGTAACGGTGGAATCCATGTTCCTGTTGCTGCAACGATTAATCCATTCAGAGGGCATCCCAAAAACTGCACGGGCGAAATATACGCACTCTTCGGAAATATCATCTGAAAGTTAAGTTTTTCAAAAGTATGGTTGTGCCAATTGCGGCTTCATCTTTTCACACCACCGCGCTGATTTCATATTTTGTGTAATGGTCAATGGTGCACACTGGTCGATGGATGGCGTGCAATGACGAAACGTAAGTACACAAGTAACAACTGGGATTTGCTAATGTTTCTTTGGGCGACGCCTTTAATGCTATTCTAAATGCTCTCCTGTTATCGGTAATGCTATTCTGGGTGATTGCGTCAGATGTTTCAGTCGCTGAGGCACCGACGCCTCTCGATTCGACACGTGAGCTGAACGGTTACATACGCGCGTGATTACCGAGCGCCACGGTTCGAGGATGAGGCGATGGTACGTGGGGAGAAGGCCATGTATGGTGCGTTGTTGCTTTAATTGTTTCCGATTGCCTTGCGTGGACGGTGTGGTGGTCTAAGATCACAAAATAAGCATATGTTGTTGCGTGTGCCCGAAATCACCACAAAAGGCAGGCTGAGCCAATGCACTGCGGTAATTTTGCCACTGTTCTTTTTTGCCACAAAGGACCGCGAAAATATGCACAGGCAGACAGTGCTACAACACGGTCACTCGGCGCCAAGCCGTCTTTGGCCAGTTACTAGCTGGCCATTCGACGACAGTCGGACAAGACGCACTCTCTGGGAGCCGCACCCAGTGACTAGGCATACAGAGTCCAGCAACTTGCGCGCGGACCGCGGCGGCGGCAATCGCGGCCACTCTCCTGCGCCGCAGCCGCCTCCCAAAACACGAACCTGTGACGTAACCGCACTCCTGATGATGGCTCATCGTGGCTTCCTAGTACGAACTTTCTCCGTTACTAGAGAACAGAGCCGCGCCAAAGTAGACGGTCACAAATAACGAGGAGAGCTTAACAAGGCGCGGCGGCATTTGGGCTGCGCGGAATGTGTGCAGTCATCTTGATCCCACGACCGAAACGTTTACCTGGAACTATTACGTAATGCAGGACGGCGAAACCGCTAAAAACTGCTGAACAAAGGCTACGTACACGGGAACAGGCGATTGAGGGCTGCTTCCTCACCGGTGATCTCATGCGTGCTCCAATTCCACGAACGTTGCCAGGCTGCATGCAAGCCCAAATGGGGCCTCATAAATGGTACTCAGAACGGCGGGGTTCCGGATTACGGAAGCCAGCAGGAGCCGGAGCTGGCCAGACGCGTCCAAACCACGCGGCCGCACCCGGCCGGCGTAAACCCAGCCCAGATCACCAAACGCCGGCTGGAGAAATGTGCGTTTAAGCGGCAAAACCACACTGAAATGCGGTGCGACCGGGGCGGCTGCCACAGGCCGTGCCTACCAGCTCGGGTGCAAAGTGGCGACACGCTGGCGAACCGTGCTCCATCTTCGGCTGTCGTCTTTGACTCGCCGGCGGCGTGGTCGCTGCTAGGAGCGGGCCACGTATCCGGGTGCGGGCACAAGCCAGACGACGGAGATCGGCGGCAAACTTCAGACGGGCCACCGGTTATCACTCCAGCACACATAGCCGGCATGCCAAGACTCTGACATAGCCTTGCACGGGCGTAACCATGAACATATCAGTGATGTAACCATGCCTTGAAGGTTACTGGTGTCCAGGGCTGTTTCGGTCCTATCTGACATGGTCAAAACACAACTTAGTCCCCCATCTGCCCAGGGGTTCGTCCAGACCCCATCGTCTCCAGCGATGGTCGCGGTCATTCACCAGGGGGCAGTAAATACAGCCGTTTAGCGTGTTTCGGGCTAAAAGCGAGACTTTATCGGCCCTCAAAATGTGAACATTTAACACAAGCCGTGCAGCTATCACGATTTACGACCGGGGAAATGACGGGCTCCCCAGCACAGAGCAGACCACAGTTTTGATATAAGTGGTTCCTTCCTTGATCAGAGAAATTCTGTCAACGTTTGCAAACACCGGATTCATTTTATAGTTTTTAAAACCATGGGATCAGTCGATGGTACAAAAAAGTCGTAAATGCGCGTAACGTGTATGCCAATAATGACTGTGTCATGCGGTATTAATGACTCGGTGTAAACACAATTATGGCGTACATCTGGCGCACGGTCAACGTTTTCCGATACATTGTGGCGTGGAATAATATCCATGCTGCTCCAGGAAGGAAAAGGAGTAAAAAGATGATCCACGGATCCGGCAAGATGATGCAACGCCTCACATCAATAATGAAACCAGAGAGTAGCTGGAAGCCCACGCATGGAAGCTGACTGGCCGGTTGTCTTCCTCTCGCAATGACGGCACACCTTGTAGACCCAGCTCTGACAGCGACCGGGCGGCTACTTTCCCGCATCTCGGGGCAAAATTGAAGGCAAATATGTCGATGAAACGTAATTTCGTATCTTCTGAAATTCTGAACAAATTTTTGATTGTGTTATATATCGAGCTGAGGTCGAGGTGAGATTAGGTTATATATGATTTTACTTTTAATTTACATACTATTTACCCATGAATCCTTTCGTTGTTTCAGTGCGTTTGGAACCAAATTGTTTGATAGCAATTCGGTGTTGTTTGGTGTAGCCAGAGGGTCCCATAAAACGCATTCTCGAACCTCCTAAAATCTTAATGACAAAAACAGCCTACTAATCGCGTTTGCATTCCTTTCCCTTTATCACTCAGAACCGATGTGCGCCATAGTTATGTTATGCATTGGTCCACTTGGTTACCAGAGAAGTTGTTTCGTGATATCTGCATGACCTATGGCGGCATCGCTCTCGCGATCGACTGTTCTGTATTCGCCACAGCTGGTGTGAACAAAAAAAAAAAAACACTCGTGAATATTTTAGAAACGGAATCGCCAAAGATTACCTGTGTGTAGCTGTAGGAAGAACACATAGCGAAGCACGAAACCGGGGGCGCGAGAATAATGCCTATCTTCGGGGGGGGGGGGGGGTGGCGAACTCCTAAATGCCAAAATGGCCCCTAAGATGAGATAGTGGGCCCTCTACAAGCCGGAATGGACCCTTTTAGTAAACAAGGGGTCCTCTACGGGTCAAGACGTGTTCCATAGGATCAGAGTGGGTCTTCTGTAGAACAAAACAGGCCCTCCGCAGGGGACCCAACGATGGGCCTCTATAAGTTAGAATGGGCCCACTACGGGTCAAAATGGGCCCTCTTTAGGTCAGAATGGGCATAGGATGAGCTTTTTACAGGCCAGAATCGACTGTGTGCAGGCCTGAATAAGCCCCTCTACAGGCCAGCATGGGCCCTCCATAGTTGATGATACGCCCTCTCCATGTCAGAATCAGTCCTCTACAGGCCTGAGTGAGTCCCTCTACATGTCATAACAGGCCCTCTGGAGGCCAAAATGGACCCTCCACAGCCAATAATTGCTCCTAGATAGGCCAGTATGGGCACTCTATAGTTAGGAACGGACCCTCTAGAGGGCCGCTGTGCATGCCAAAATAGACCCTCTATAGTCAGTAATGGGCCTTGCACAGGTCAGAATAGGTCCTTTACAGACCAGAATGGGCACTCGAGTCAAAAATAAGCGTCTACAGGTCAGAATGGGCCCCTACAGGCCGGAGTGGGCCCTCCACAGTCAATAATGGGCCTTCTTCAGGTCACAATTGACCCTCTACAGACTCAGAAGTGCCCTCGTTCGGTCAGAATGCATCCTAAATATGCAGAATGAGCCCTCGACAGGTCGAAATGGACTTTAACATGCTTACACATGATTCCTTTACAGTTCAGAATCGGCTCTTATCATACCAGATCAGCACTCCACAGGCCCTCCAAGTTGGGGGCGTCGCTCCCCCAGCATTAAAGGTAGGAGGGGGGGGGGGGGGCGAGCTGTTCCACTGCCCCCGGTCCCCGCGTCCTGGCACAGAACTGTTCAAAAATATAAACGGACATGTGTGAAATTAGACAAAAGTTGCGACGCGCGCTGACACCCGAATTAACCGCATAACAGCCATATCGCTACGACAAGTTACATAATCTATTTGCAGCCCCCGATAGAATCACGATATGACGTTTTGTCCATGACGCCGAGAAGGAATGCTGTGCGAGGGAGTGCTGGGGCATCCCCCGCTCTGCAAAAGCTTACTAGGATGAGAGGATGGCGGATCTTTACATCGGCCGCTTGCAACCTCCAGCCGATGGTCTGCGTCGTAGACGAGAGATTGTATATCAACAGCAAAACCGACTTTGTCTTCGAATTCTCAACTAAACGGTAAGGAACGATGCTGAAAATGTGTTGTGGGGGATGGGTCTTGCCTGGATTGAGTAAATTGACGTTTGGTGTATGCATGCCAGACTGTCCAAATCTGTATGGGGCTCTGCAACGCCGTATGCTTGTAATCCGCGTCCGCAAGCGTAATCTGGGAGCAACAGCAGTAGTGCAGCGTGGGCAATAGCGTGTACCCAGTGCCCGTGTTCTCCGCTGTCCAAGAGAAAGACGCACGGGTCGTAATCCAGCGGCGTAGGAGATGAGTTCCGGTGCGAGCGCATTGTTTCATCCGACTGGCGTCATAGGGTCACTTGGGAATTGGCAGGAGATCGAACCGGCCCGCGGCGACCATGCGGTGCTTCTCTCCACAGTTCTGTCTCGCAAGAGGCCCGGAAGTAAAACCATCGAGCGTCGGATATCGAATAACAGGCCTACCTGGAGTGATGGGTTCAAGGCGCACAAGTTCCGCTCAGCAAGCGCTCGGAACGCAAAACCATTCTTGTGAAGCGTTGTAGATGCATCCGTTTTTTAAATGTGGAGGGGGGGGGGGGGGTGGGAATGGGGCAGCGGGCGAACACCCTGGCTGGCGAAGAAGCAGTGGGATTACGGGGGGCAATCGGACAAAATGAAGAGTCGGGATGCAAAAGAAGGCAGTCTGCTGAGCCAAATGATCAAGATAACATTTTCACGTGCAAATATGCGCGAAAGGCATTAAAAGTTACGTAAAATGGACTACATGAATTCTATCGATCTACATTTGTTTATCGCACATCTATTATATTGGTATTGTACGGCACCTCACTATTCTCTGTTAATCTTTATGGCTTGATGTAGTTCTTCCTACATTCCTGCAGTCAGAGTTTTTCCCGTTGGCTTATTCATTTTGTAGTAAAAAATAAAACTAACGGAGATGCATGTCAAGGGCAATTATTCACTTTGAATAAATCGGCACACAACACCACTTGATAGCATGTTACTAAACGCCAGAAGCAAGGATAAACTTGGGTAACTTAATAAACAGTGACCTATGATGACATCAGATCACCAGGTGGTGATTAGGTAGCTACAACGTTGAGCAGAAAAGTTTCAGGGAATGTTCTACATTTGAAGATATTGATGTAAGCATCAGATGTGATAAAGTAAGCTCTTTTACAACTATCGGTACACGTTAAGTGGAAAACGCTGCTCTAAGCACCACAATATCTTTGCTTAGTAAATATGCCCATCGATACGAAATTGTTTGATCGCGTCATCGTACCTTGCGCGACATTAATACTGAGAGCCAGTTGACTGCCGTTATATATAGAAATTGTACTCACGAATGTCAAATATGAACGACTCGACCATCGCTTTTTCTTGGCTTTGTCTGCCGCATGGTTCAACAAAATGTCAGAAATTGAATGACGTGATTAGGGCGTCATGGATGATGGATGGCCTTGAAATACTATTGCCGAAATAGTTTGCACATCTTCGCGGGCACGTAACTAAAAAAACTAGAAGGGTGTAGGCCTTAAGAAGAGCAGGCTGCGAAAAGCAGAGAATGATTTTAAGAATGGCTGGTTGAGTTCAAAACTCTATGCAGATGGAACACTTCCTTTTACGAGAAGGACTGCGCGAGTTACACAATATAACTTAGTAGCGAATACCATATGTAACCATGGTTTGGTCCGACATGACCAAGCCATGACCTAACTAGGTCATTGACCTGACATGACTGACTCCAAAATGTTACCAGTTCTATTGGCGCCCACGAACAGTGTCAGGACTAGAGCGCGTACCATTCCGAACCTAGTTTAGAGCATACCACGGGGGCGACACCCGTTTTTCCGTCCATGCGGTGGTTACCGTGGTGTCATTACCGCATTCCCGGGCCGATGGTTACCGTGGTGTCATCACCCCATTTCCGGGCCGATGGTTACCGTGGTGCCATCACCCCATTCCCGGGACGATGGCAACCGTGGTGTCATCACCCATTCCCGGGCCGATGGTTACTGTGGCGTCATCATCGCATTCCCGGGACGGTGGTTACCGTAGTGTCATCACCACATTCCCGAGCCGAAGTCTAATCGGTTTTTACCTTAGCGGATAGCCAAAGCAAGCCATGTACGAAAACCAATAAAAAGGGCACATCTGAACTGAAAAAGCAGCCACAGGGGACTTAAGAGACCTACCTGCAGCCCGCGACCGTGTGGCGAGAAGCTGCACAACGTTGGCACATCTGGATGGTGCCCCCAGCCGAACGAGCCCCCTGACACGCCATCAACGGACCAGGCTAGCGCCGGACGGGCCAGAAAAGGTCACACATCCATTGCAAACAAGCGAGCTCGGAGAAGCGGACTTCTTGACACTTGTGAGTGCAAGAGCGCCCGCCAAAGAATCCATCCACTTCCGCACCGTTGCGGGGGGGGGGGGGGGGCAGTGGCACCATAACCCCGATCATGCAGCGTGGAGGTGCAGGCCGCGCGCCGCATCGCCCGCTCCTCCACTGTGCGGTAGCGTGCGCCAGCTGCCCACTTCCAGCCCGGCGCCGTCCTCAGCCCGGAGGGGCTCGGGAGCGCGCGGCCTCCCATTGTGCTTAAAAAAAAAATGTTGCATGGCGTTTACTGCTGCCGACATCCCGGCGGTATTTACAGCGGGTAGCACGCGAGAAACAAACGAGAAAAACAATGCCGTGAGAAGCGGCATCACACGACACAAAAGGACTGGCTCTGGGATAGACTGGTATTATGCACATGCTACAGGTCGCACAGCTCGCGAGGTGACGGCTACAGCGGCGACGGTGCCACTGGTTCGAGGTATGTGCTTCTCACTGAGCCCACAGCAGTGACTTCGGCAGGTGACTGAAAAGACGAACACACGTGGCGATCGAGGCTCTGAGTCTGCCGGGCCACGCTGCATGCCCCACGCCATCACAACAGTCTCGCACCGACGCCAGCTCGACCATGCTACACAACAGACTCGCACCGACGCCAGCTCGACCACGCCATCACAACAGTCTCGCACCGACGCCAGCTCAACCACGCTACACAACAGCCTCGCACCGACGCCAGCTCGACCACGCTACACAACAGCCTCGCACCGACGCCAGCTCGACCACGCTACACAATAGCCTCGCACCGACGCCAGCTCGACCACGCCATCACAACAGCCTCGCATTGACGCCAGCTCGACCACACCACAAAACAGCCTCGCACCGACGCCAGCTCGACCACACCACACAACAGCCTCGCACCGACGCCAGCTCGACCACATCACAAAACAGCCTCGCACCGACGCCAGCTCGACCACACCACACAACAGCCTCGCACCGACGCCAGCTCGACCCCGCCGCAGAGCTCATCGCTCGTGTTGGGTGTGGTAATGACCATCAGGCACGTGTCGGGATCGCAAAATCTGACTTCGGGATCCGGAATCACATAATTTTATGACACCCGTCACCCATCATTGGATCTGAATTGAACATCATCGTTGTGCAAACGTCTGACGGCCGCCCGAGTGCGACCGAGCCCCGTGGCTGGCGCTTCAGGCAGGAGTCGCCGCTCTCTGTGACGGGCGCCGGCGCGCGCGTATGGCGCCGGGCAGCCCACAGCTGCCGGTGACGAGCCCCGCCGACATCCGTTGGAGGAAGAGAACTGACCGATTTGGGTCAAAAGAGCTAAAACAAAGATGACTATCCTGCAGCAACCAAAGCTCCACATCAACAGAACAGCTCTGTCGTCACCAAGACAAGCCAGGGGATCTTAGGTGCACGCGGTCACCGCGGCAGTCAGCCATCCAGGTTAGAGTAATCACATTATATCGCCATCCACATGAATGCCGCAAACACCCTCACCGCGGGAAACAAGGCCCAACCGTTGCGGCGGAAACTAGGGGAAGAACGGCCACTGGCTGGCGGCCCCAAATCACAGCTCATCACACAGGCTCCACCTAGGTAACCATCACCACGCGCCCACTGCCGCAGCCGCCTGCCGGGACGCCCGTGCCCGGCAGCAGCCTGAACCGTCGGGCGGCCGCCACCGGGTCACGTCCGGGTCGGCGTCCCCTAAGGCGAGCGTCGGCCGGTGGCGCCCGGCGTCCGCGGCTCCTGCTGCTCCCCGACACCACCATCCAGCGTCCGGCGAAAAGCGCCGGCCTGGCACTACTGAGCGGCGGGACGGCCGCCGCTCTCAGGTACTAACGCCCTCCGCCACAGCCTCGCGAACACAGCACGGCCGGCGGCGCTGCAGCGTCGGCCGGCGCGCGGCGGCCGGCTCAGCTGCAGGCCGGGCTGGCCTCGCGGGGGGAGCGCGCGCCGCCGGCCGCGCCCGCCGCCTGCCAGACGGCGTGGCCCCGCTTCACCAGCTCCTTGGCGATGTCCACGTCCTGGGGCACCAGGTCAGGGTCTGAGCAGTCTGCGCCAGCCGCGGCGGCCAGCAGTGCCGGGGGCAGAGGTCCCGGTCGACCATGGCGGTACGGCCAGGCGGTCAGTCCGGACAACGCCAAGGGGTGTTACCCCGCCAGCTGGGCTGCGCTGCTGCTGAGGGGACCTAAGCTGGAACGGCATTCTCCGCGCCACCCGGAACACCACACAAGACCACCTCGGTTCGGATCGGGAACACAGTGCGAGACCACACGCCGATGCACAGCTGGCCCATTGCACTGTCTTGTAAGGCTGCCCTTCTCCGTCCTGTGACCATGCCTTTTCAGAGCTAAGACAGAAGCTCCAAGGTGTCAAGCACCGTCGAATGACCAAACTGACACCGGGGAGAGCGCGCGACAGAAAGAACCAAGAGCCCGTACCATTGGCGAGTTGGTGTCGACAAGCTCCACCACAGGCACCTTGTGGCTGCCGGCCTGCTGGTACCGCAGCACCTTGGCCATGATCGACTTCCACTGGGCCGCGTACGACAGCTCCTCGAAACAGTCGCCGGCCGCGTCTGTCCAAGCGCAGTCCCTGCAGGGTCAACCGACACGGCAATCAGGCACGGCGGAACGCATCTCAACACGGGCCTACACCCAGCGCCAATCAGTGCGCGGCCACGACACTTTCCAGGCAGCATCACGGGCGTCCAAAGGCATGCCTATTGGTATTCATTGGTGCTGCTATACCCAACAGCACCAACGCGGTGTCCTCGTTTTTGTCAGGGAAGGTCATACGTACCCACGAGCAAGTCTGGCTCCAGGGTCAGTCCTAGCACAGAAACGAAGGCGTGGCATGGGGCGTTGGACACCGGCCCGGACCGGACGCCGGACAAAGACGGCCACACGGGACCGTCAGACTCAGCATCCACTCTCAGCACAGACAGCCTCGGCCGCACGGGACCGTCAGACTCGGCATCCACCCTCAACACAGACAGCCTCGGCCGCACGGGACCGTCAGACTCGGCATCCACCCTCAACACAGACAGCCTCGGCCGCACGGGACCGTCAGACTCGGCATCCACTCTCAACACAGACCGCCTCGGCCGCACGGGACCGTCAGACTCGGCATCCACCCTCAACACAGACAGCCTCGACCGCACGGGACCATCAGACTCGGCATCCACCATCAACACAGACAGCCTCGGCCGCACGGGACCGTCAGACTCGGCATCCACTCTCAACACAGACAGCCTCGGCCGCACGGGACCGTCAGACTCGGCATCCACTCTCAACACAGACAGCCTCGGCCGCACGGGACCGTCAGACTCGGCATCCACCCTCAACACAGACAGCCTCGGCCGCACGGGACCGTCAGACTCGGCATCCACCCTCAACACAGACAGCCTCGGCCGCACGGGACCGTCAGACTCGGCATCCAGCATCAACACAGACAGCCTCGGCCGCACGGGACCGCCAGACTCGGCATCCACTCTCAACACACACAGCCTCGGCCGCACGGGACCATCAGACTCGGCATCCACCCTCAACACAGACAGCCTCGGCCGCACGGGACCGTCAGACTCGGCATCCACCCTCAACGCAGACAGCCTTGGCCGCACGGGACCGCCAGACTCGGCATCCACTCTCAACACACACAGCCTCGGCCGCACGGGACCGTCAGACTCGGCATCCACCCTCAACACAGACAGCCTCGGCCGCACGGGACCGTCAGACTCGGCATCCACCATCAACACAGACAGCCTCGGCCGCACGGGACCGTCAGACTCGGCATCCACCCTCAACACAGACAGCCTCGGCCGCACGGGACCGTCAGACTCGGCATCCACTCTCAACACAGACAGCCTCGGCCACACGGGACCGTCAGACTCGGCATCCACTCTCAACGCACACAGCCTCGGCCGCACGGGACCATCAGACTCGGCATCCACCCTCAACACAGACAGCCTCGGCCGCACGGGACCGTCAGGCTCGGCATCCACCATCAACACAGACAGCCTCGGCCGCACGGGACCGTCAGACTCGGCATCCACCCTCAACACAGACAGCCTCGGCCGCACGGGACCATCAGACTCGGCATCCACTCTCAACACACACAGCCTCGGCCGCACGGGACCGTCAGACTCGGCATCCACCCTCAACACAGACAGCCTCGGCCGCAAGGGACCGTCAGACTCGGCATCCACCATCAACACAGACCGCCTCGGCCGCACGGGACCGTCAGACTCGGCATCCACCCTCAACACACACAGCCTCGGCCGCACGGGACCGTCAGACTCGGCATCCACCATCAACACAGACAGCCTCGGCCGCACGGGACCGTCAGACTCGGCATCCACCATCAACACAGACAGCCTCGGCCGCACGGGACCGTCAGACTCGGCATCCACCATCAACACAGACAGCCTCGGCCGCACGGGACCGTCAGACTCGGCATCCACCCTCAACACAGACAGCCTCGACGGCACGGGACCGTCAGACTCGGCATCCACCCTCAACACAGACAGCCTCGACCGCACGGGACCGTCAGACTCGGCATCCACCCTCAACACAGACAGCCTCGGCCGCACGGGACCGTCAGACTCGGCATCCACTCTCAACACAGACAGCCTCGGCCGCACGGGACCGCCAGACTCGGCATCCACTCTCAACACAGACCGCCTCGGCCGCACGGGACCGTCAGACTCGGCATCCACCCTCAACACACACAGCCTCGGCCGCACGGGACCGTCAGACTCGGCATCCACCATCAACACAGACAGCCTCGGCCGCACGGGACCGTCAGACTCGGCATCCACCCTCAACACAGACAGCCTCGGCCGCACGGGACCGTCAGACTCGGCATCCACCCTCAACACAGACAGCCTCGGCCGCACGCCGGCGACGGTCCCCGCACCAGACGATGACGCCGCACCGGCCCCAACCACCGAGCCGAGGCATCTATGATCCTGTGTTAGTCACTTTCGGTGGCCGGCTCTTCACCAGCTGATGCGGTACATATGTATCGGTTCGCGAGGGCTGCGTGGGTTGACTTTGTCAATAAAGCTGGCGGATGCTGCGTAAACGAAGCCGGACAGAAAAAAAAACTGGCAAGTCCTCTGACCTGCAGAAGTCCTTTGGCCTCGCAAATGCCCAGTGCAATATTCATAACACGATTCTACCTAAGGGGCTCTCATGTAACGAGCACAACTATGTCAAGCACACGGAAACAAAGACATGGAAGGAAAGCTCAATAGAGGAATAAACGTGCGAATGTGCCCTCCGCTGGAAAACAAAAAGGAGCAAAAAACTAAGGAACAAACATACAAGAACGGCTGCCAAATAGCTTCCATCCATCACACCCGACACCCGACAGCTTAAGCAGCAGCACCGTGTTCACCACTGCCAGCAGACGGCTCCCACCGACCGACTCACGAGGGCTTCACGCCGGCGAGGAAGCACTCGACGGCCTGGTGGCTGAGGCCGAGAAAGTCGGTTCGCAGCTCGGCAGCGTCGCGTCGCTTCACCGTGTCCGTGTCGCCGAAGTCGACGTAGTAGACGGTGAGGGCGGCGTCGGCGGGGTCGGCCTCACTTTCAGCCACCTCGGCCACCTCGGCCCGGTACCACGACTTGTCGTACGGGAACGGCGCCGCGATCACATCCCCTACCGACACCTGCCGGGGTACGCGGGTCGGGACTGAGGATCTCGAAGAACCTGGACGACTGAGGCCCTCCTGCGGGTCGGGAGTGAAGACCCCGCAGCCAACCGCCAGAGTCAGGGCAGCGGACGCTCCGGGCAGTGGCCAGGGTACAGGGGTCGATGACGGCTTCCACAGACACTTTCCCGGGTAGAGATCGTCCCCAACGACACCAACGAAGACCCTACTCACAACTGCCGAGGCAAAGATCATGATGTCACCACTGACCCAACCAAATATCAACGCAAAACGCAGTGAGCTCTTTATAACACAACTATGCCACATATAACCCCTCTCATACAAAACGACTTCCACAACTCGCGATGTACAAGGTAAGTTATAGCACGCGCATTCTATAAAACGTTATGGATAATACTGCTCGTGAGTATTTTAAACTAATTTACACGCCCCGGCGCCGATCTGGCTGCTGGTCACAGAGACCTGGATACAAACATGGCCGGACTGATACTGGGATTCACAGCACTGCGAAACCGACCCTTGCCGGCACGTTCACCCGCCCGCACGACTGCCGGCATGCCGTCGCGCCCGAGCTGAGCGTACCTTCTTCAGCTTGTACATCTCCCGGTTACTCTCCTCTGAGTAGAGCGCCGTCATCCGCTCCACCAGCTTGTCGAGCTCGATCGCGCGTGGCGACTTCACCTGGTCGGCACGAGGCCGTTGTGTCAAAAACATAGGTGGTGAAACGGGACAGCGTGCAACGTGCAGGCTAGTGAGCAAGCTGTCAACAGACCGGCCGTGCTGACCGTTTTGCAACACTTGCCAGACACGTGGAAGTCATGGGTGCCTTTGCATTCATCCAAGCATCAAAACAATGACTTGAACGTACCAGCTGACTAGTGCCCGCGACTGCATATGTCGTGACGTGTCAGGTTAGCTGACGGGCAGAGGGGAGGGCGGGGAGGGGTGCGGACGGGCCGGCGCTGCTCACCTGCACCCAGAAGTGGCCGGGGGTGTCGACAGCCGACACGTACACCTCGAGGTAGCCATCGGACCCGGTGGCCACCAGACTCTCGCGCGTGGGCACCGGCTCGGCGCCATCCTGTCGGCGCCGTCAGGCGACGTCAGGGGAGGCGACCCGCTCCGGAGCCGCTCCTGAGGCGCGCCAGCCCCGGCCAGCGACGGCTAACGGAAGCCAGACCAGCGCGGCCACGCCCGCCAGATCGGGCGCGCCGCTGTACGGACTCTGACCATGAGATGTCCCGTCTGAGTCACGCCGTCCATCGTGTCAGTCCATTTCCGAAACATGGTGTTTGTTAGAAAGGTCTAGAGCGGATGTATGCACTCTGAATTCGGAGTTTCATAAGCCTGTCAAGACTCGGCCTTTGGCGTGGCGAACGGACACGTCAGAGGCCACATCACGCATCCAAATGTGGACAGGGTCGGCAACGGAAACACCGGCCACGCCAGGCTGCAGGCACGACGTCATCGCAGTTGGTTTGGGTTGGTTTGGTTGGAACTGGATCCTTTTCAGCCACCATTGACCATCCCAGAGCTATGGAATAGAGAGGTGAGTGGTGCAGCAATAGCGAGGCCACCGTAACAGACCAGCTAACGAGTCTTACCCGAGCCCGGGCGCCTCTTCGGGGTTTGTGTGGCCAATGGGACTGGGCTGGGCTAGGGCGGCACCTGACCCTGATCACGGATTAAGGCCGCGGCTAGGTCAGGGAGGCACCTGACCCTGATCAGGGCTTAAGGCCGCGGCTAGGTCAGGGAGGCACCTGACCCTGATCAGGGCTTACGGTCGCGGCTAGGCCAGGAAGGCACCTGACCCTGATCAGGGCTTACGGCCGCGACTAGGCCAGGAAGGCACCTGACCCTGATCAGGGCTTAAGACCGCGGCTAGGTCAGGGAGGCACTTGACCCTGATCAGGACTTACGGTCGCGGCTAAGCCAGGGAGGCACCTGACCCTGATCGGGCTTACGGTCGCGGCTGGCAAGGGAGGCACCTGACCCTGACGAGGGTTTACGGCCGCGGCTAGGCCAGGAAGGCGCCTGACCCTGATCGGGGCTCATGGTCGCGGCTAGGCCAGGAAGGCGCCTGACCCTGATCGGGGCTTATGGCCGCGGCTAGGCCAGGGAGGCACCTGACCCTGATCGGGGCTTACGGTCGCGGCTGGCCCCGAAGACACGCCCCGTGGCGAAGATTCAGGATGAAGCGACGAGTGAGGATGGAGAGCAGATGTATGGCAGTTGTTTTAGGCTCAGTTGGGATCAGAGCCTCTCCGGCCACCACTGGCAATATCAGGGCTTAGGGATGAGGGAGGGAGGGGGGGGGGAGGTAAGTGGTGAGACAACACTACGGTAATCGTAGGAGACGTCCGATAACGGGCCTTACCACGCACATAAAGCCCTGTTCGGGATTGTGCGGGAACTCGGGCGGAGGCCCTGCCCTCCCCCCCCCCCCCCCCCACGCCAGGAATCGGTGAATACAGAAGAAAGGACGACATCGCAGTTGGTTTGGTTTGGATTGATTTGGTTTGAATCAGAACACTCAGACAGTAATAACCATTTCATAACCATGGGATGAAGAAAAGCGGACAATGGTGGGGAAAACTGCATGCGCATGGGGGTCCATCCACCGACATTTAGCCCGCACGAGGAGCGCTATACGGGGTACGTGCTCGGCGCTCGGACGGAGCTTCCACCAGGGGCTTACTCGTAGCTGATGCATGTAGCTTGCCCCTGACAAACGGGCGTCGCCAGGAGGCCGTATACGGCGAGAAGTAAGAAAAAAGGACGCGTGACTGCAGGTGGAAAATCCCTGGCCGGAGTGGGCCGGCACCTACCTACTAACGGCATTGCTGGAGTCCCACCTGCCCTTTGGTGGCGTCCGTGAGCTTATTCTTGTGCCGCGGCGCACGATTGGAGGCGGATAGGTCAATCCTGCGGCGCATAGCTTCCTCCTCCTCCACCTTCTCCTGCAGCATTTGTTTGGCAGTGGCCAGCTGGTCCTCGGTGCCTTTGATGGTGACCGCTCGCATGCCATCTGGTGATTGAAACACGTACTTTTAGTCACGGTTAGACTCGGACAGCAAAAGACCAGGAACTGGAACCATGTAAGCTGTCAGTGATGGACCTAGTGAAAGAGCAATAATCAGTGGACACGGTGAGGACGGAAAGGCTTTGTCCTTTGATTATGTTTTTAAAAAGGAGATTTATGTGATCCATACAGCTTGGACAGACCCCATTATGGACGCAATGTCTCAGTGACAACAATGCGTACAATGGTGACGGTTGGAGAAGCTCTCGAAACTGACATTCTGGGCAAAGCTAACAAGTGGACGAAATAGTCGTATGCGGCACTGATAATATGTGCTGCTATTTCGATCGGACAGGAACACGGTGCCATTTTACTGCAAAATGTTGTGCGTAACCCGAAAATTACGTTATCTGAGATGCTCCACCTGTGAAAAACCAAGTGCGCTTATGAGCCAGGAAACCTTTCGACAATGACGCTGCCCACAAAGCTGTGTGCAGTTTGTAGACTTGATGGGTTACGTCTTAGCAATAAAAACTGAATTTAGCCTCAGTCTTGTCTACAGGCATGTTCACGACCATCACGACCGCGTCGACGCCTCGCGTACTTCTGAGGTCATATGATCGCATTAAGCAATGCATTTGGCCCCCAGCGCAGGCTTCATTTTAGGTGGATGCTGGTGATGTTCATTGAGTAATTGCAGCAGCAAAAAATTATGTCTATCACCTTCTGACGTACTGCATCAGTATCAGGGTTGACATTTAGGCCGGCTCAAACTTGTGACGTCAATTGTCATTTGAATTTCTCCTCAGCCGAGGTGTTCTACTGAAAGTCACGCGCTAAATTGCGCATGGTGCCGGAATGAAAGGGGGTACTCCACGTTTGTACGGGGTTTTGAACCGAAATAATCACCGCTAGGATCATTCGGTGCGGTTCACAGCCCTGCCCCTCTTAGGATTTGAACCCATCCGGTTTCTAAGGTACGCGCATGTGAATATGTGCACTTTTTCGGGGTCGTTATTTCAAGGTCACCCAGGCATCCCATCCGTCACAGTAACGTCACTGAAATCTTCCCAATTCAACAAACGTGCGGCGATCAAGGCCAAAACAAATCTAATTTTCGAGGCGCTCATCTCTGGCTTCGTGAGCAGGATTTCCCGATATGCGGCCCTCAGCTGACTCTCAATAAATGGTGTGCAAGGTACGATGACGAAATCAAGCAATGACGTATTGAGGAGCATATTTACTCAACAGAAATTGCATTGTCGAGCGCATTTACTAAACAGGGAAACGGCGTCTTTTTCACTTAAACGTGTACCAGTAGTTATGAGTGAGCTTATTTCATTTCTGGTCCTTCAATATCTCCAAATGTGAAACATTCCCTTTAAAAGAGCCTTCGTCCTGGTGGTGCGCTGGTCGATGTGTGTGGTATGCGATTACCGTTGTGTTGTGATTATGCGCATGCCTCCTCAGCCTTTTGTTGGTTAATAGCTCCAATTTGTTCAGAGGTCCGCCAAATTGAACTGATCCTGGGTCACGACTGCGAAGGATGCTGTAGATATCACGTGCCCGGCTGTGATAGCAGACTCGATAGGCCTGACCGAAACAGACCGGATTCGGCGGTGTCCTGCCGTGACAGACACGTGGCATCAGAACCCTTATGGGGACTTGCTTTCTGCACTCCGTTTATAGCTTGTCACCAAGTTAAAAGCCTCAAAACCATACGGCGGCAAAAATAACGGAAAAGACGTCACTGCTTTTGTCAACGGGAACCCTGACCTTCACCATGCGTGTTGTACTCAAACTGGCAAATTTTGCGGGTGCGTTTCTAATGCCTTGTCCTGCCCAATAGCGGTTTAATATTTGTAGAAGTCACCCGAAATAAACGAGTGGATGAGTCACACACAAACTATACGGAGATGTTCTTCTGTCATATTTCATCTGCTCAGTCGTTCACTTGTGCGTTGAGTTTGATGTCACCAAAATATGCTTCAGAAAGTTCTAAATGTTCTGGATATGGTTTATCGTGCGCCAAGTATCAAACCAAGTTGCGGATGCTAAGAATAGCCGTCGATTTGGAGCAGTGATATGTCCAGTTTTTCACGGCCCATGTCCACGCCAGACCATTTTTATCCGCTGCTTTCTGCAAAGCATTTTGCATTGGTTTTAGGGTTGACTAAAGAATCGACTGACGATTTTAAAATGTTTCGTGAATAGTTCTGCTATTACATGTAGCTTTGGACAGCAAGCGGTCATATGGATTGCCATTTGCACCCAAGCACGCATGTGGATAGGGCGGGGTAATAATCCCATGCCGGGGAACCAGAGGTACGGGGTTCGATTCCCCGCGGTGCCTGCCTTTCCCGCCACGGTGAGAGGATATAGGCGACGCCATACAGCCTCAGCAACTGAGTGCGTCGTAAAGCCCTAATAACAACGACAACAATCCCATAATATTCAAAATGGCATTGGGACACTGGACTCTACGAACACCCGTGCCTACAATTTTGTCACCAGCGGCCTGGTCTGCCCTTGCTGTCCCTATGACGCCTGACATTAGGTCGTGTTGCTACTGCGACCGTGCGAGTCTTCAATTGCTATGATATTGCCTTACTTCGAATGTCATTGAAGTCTTATTTACGAATGACAGTTGTGTTGGCACAACTGACTATTCACTTTCAGCACCCACAATGGACGTGACATTTGACAACGCATCATTGTTTGCTTCCAGAGCTCTTTTCGCTATCTCCAACCCAAATGGTAGGGGTATCCGGTTGCTCAATGTGGTATAAAATATGCATCCAACCGACTGATCCGAATTATGACTGGTGGGGTGAACTGATGAAGGGAGGGTCATGAGGTAGAGCCAGAGACTATTTCAAGGTCACCCAAGCATCAATGACGCCATAATAACGACATTCAACTTCCGCCATTCCATTAGCCATGCTGCGCGCAAGGCTACAAGGCGCGCAAGAATACAATTGTTGAGTCGTTCATATCTGAGGTACGGGAGCACGATTTCCAGATAAACCGGCTGTCAATCGACTCTCAATCAATGTGCAAAGTGCGACGACACAATCAAATAGTGACGTATTGGGAGTTTATGTACTAGAGAAATTGTGCTGTCGTTGAAATGCACCATACTAACACTGACAACGCTTAGCGTGCATTGGATTTTGTTATTTTCCGCTTCCATTTTGTTCCACTGGCGTCCTGCACGTCCTCAGTACTTGAGATTCAGCCAATTTTGTCAACAACGGTTTCTAACAGCCGATTTCAGCGGACAAAAACCGGCTGGCAGAAACTGCTTCGGCCGGCTGCTGCCAAACACGATCGGAGCCCCATCCACCCCATCTCAATCAACACGCGTTCGGCAGAGTCCCACGTGGTGGTACCTCGTCTTCACCGGCACTGACACAGCGTCGCGCAGTGGAGCGGGCGCCCAGCCCGCTGCCGCCTAAACACGACCCGTCCCGGCACCTCGCCCCGGCCCCGGGCAGCCGTCACCTGTCGACGTCTTGAAGTCCTTGTCGACGATGATCTTGGCGCCGGACACGGCGCACATCTCACGGATCGTGTCGCCGTTCCGTCCGATGATGCGACCGCAGGCGCGCTGAGGACCGGCGACACCAGCGTCAGCCACGGACTGCCGGCCAGCGTCCGTCTGGACCGCCAGCCGGCATCAGCCACGGACTCCGGCCGGCGACAGGCACGGACTGCCAGCCAGCGTCAGCCACGGACCGTCAGCCAGCGTCAGCCACGGACCGCCGACCAGCGACAGCCACGGACTGCCAGCCAGCGTCAGCCACGGACCGCCGACCAGCGACAGTCACGGACTGCCAGCCAGCGTCAGCCACGGACCGCCGACCAGCGACAGCCACGGACTGCCAGCCAGCGTCAGCCACGGACCGCCGGCCATCGTCAGCCACGGACCGCCGGCCAACGTCAGCCACGGACGGCCGGCCAGCGTCAGCCACGGACCGCCGGCCAACGTCAGCCACGGGCCGCTGGCCAGCGTCAGCCACGAACCGCTGACCAGCGTCAGCCACGGACCGCTGACCAGCGTCAGCCACGGACCGCAGGACAACGCAAACGACGACGAAACGACTAAAGGCAGGGGCGTACGGTAATGGAGTACAGGCACAGCTGACGAACACACGCGCCAGCTGTGCCTGTCCTGCCAGGTCCATGCCAGGGTCAGCCGTGAGTCACACAAAGGGCACCAACATAGCCAGGTACAATGTCTCCACGCCTGTACACGCGATGGTGCAAGTGCGGTTAGGGCACATCGTTATGTCTCCACGCCAGTGACACAGTACTGGGAACTAGCGCAGCAAATCACCTGGAACTTGGGTGGTGAGCCATTTCGCAGGGGAAGGGTACGGTAATAACTTTGAACCCTTCGTTGATGGCAAATTCATGTCATGCTTCGCATCCTAATGTAGGTGCAAAATATCTCGTTCCGTCTGTTTTACAGCCGTTGATGCTTAGCTCCGATTGCATTACATTAAACGCCAGTGAGTAAGTCAGTCCCCATTCTGAAGGTCTGCCGAAATTGGCGGTAGCAGTATGATTCCACTGACTGCAATACACTGAGTCGCTGGCCACAATACAATCGCTGGCCATGGGCAGACGGTGCTGGATCATGGTCTGACTGGACCAACTCAGGGCAGCACTGGTCGCGGCGGGGGCAAGGGGGAACACAGGGCTGGACACAGCAGTAGCCGTTTTTCAGATCGGGTGAGCCCATTGCAAACCGTGTTTTGGTATGTGCTGCAAAATTATTAACGGCCTTGTTTATATTGAGGAAGCCCCTGCTGTGACAATTTATAAAATGCATTGCATTTAAACCCAAACGGTAGCCCACCTGCAAGAACGGATGACATTTGTCTGCTGTGTGGCGGGCATTGCTGGTAGCGGCGTGGGTCTTGTGCCGCGCGGCTAAGCTTCATTTGGCCTGCGTTCTCACCTCCGGGACGCTGACGGTGATGGTGAGGATGCTGGGCTGTTCGCTGATGGCCTGCGTTCTCACCTCCGGGACGCTGACGGTGATGGTGAGGATGTTGGGCTGTTCGCCGATGGCCTGCGTTCTCACCTGCGGGACGCTGACAGTGATGGCGAGGATGTTGGGCTGTTCGCTGATGGCCTGCGTTCTCACCTGCGGGACGCTGACGGTGATGGTGAGGATGTTGGGCTGCTCGCTGATGGCCCGCTGGATCAGACGCTCGGCCTCCTGGGCACACTCAGCCTTGCCACGGATCACGCATATCCGCTCATCCGACGGCCCGGCTGAAACCAGCCGGGGGTTACCGCCACATTACACCGCTGCTGACCGCTCCAGAGGCGGGGCGCCGCCACATCACACCGCTGCCGCCCGCTCCAGAGGGGAAGGGGGGGGGGGCCGCCACATCACACCTCTGTCACCCGTTCCAGAGGCGGGGCACCGCCACATCACGCTCCAGAGGCGGGGCGTCGCCACATTACACATCTGCCGCCCGCTCCAGAGGCGGGGCATCGCCGAGATAATCAAAAAGTGTGTTATATCCAGAATTGCTGTCACTGTGACAAGAAAATAAAGTTGAAAGGTCCAATTCACCCGAAGAGGACGACGTGACCTGCGGCACCCATCCTCGCACAACTTACAGAAGTATGTTATGCAGCACAGTTCGGATGCCCACAATCAGCTGGCGCCAGGTTATTGCCGCGTCTCTCGGAACTGATACAGACATTTTTGCCGCAACTTTGGGACAATGCGTTGCCCTGGTGTAAAACGGGGACAATGCATTGCCCTGGTGTAAAACGGCACTTTCTGACGTGTATCGGGGGATTCGCTGCACGCCAGCATCACCCGCTGCTGTGAGTATCACCAGTAGCCGCAACACTCCACCAATCATCCAGAGAAGCTACTTCTACACCATGTGCCAAAGCAATACAAATCTGTTCACTGCGTACCAGGATTTTTGAAGTTAATTCTGGTATTGGTCATCTCTTGTATGTCCTTAATGTTTGATCCTTCGCGGCCAATGACAAAACCAACTGCGTTTCGGGGTATTTTCATTTCGATAAGCGTATGTCGTGAGGTGGACGTTTCACTGAAGTTCTCCAGGTCGTCGTCGTCTTCGTTCTGCAAACAACCGAAATACAACAATCATGTTAAAGCCTTTCCCATTTTTCACTTTTGTCAATTATGTATTGTGCATACATGCATCCTGTGAGGAAGGAGGCTATAAGGGAGACATTTACTTCAAACAGTTTTCCCTCACTCCCTTTCACATATCAATTTAACCTGGTCATCATTACCATTTTCCCTTGGTCTTGCCTGTCAAGGGGTGCCACAGTGTAGTGGTTAATGTGCTAGTGTTAACCACTGTACATCTGGGAAACTGGCATATCAGGTTGGGTTCCCTGTGGTGCCCATGCTTCCTGCAAGGGTGAGAGGCAGGCAATGCCATATAGCTTCAGCAGCTGTGTGCATCATAAAGCCCCAATGACACACACACAGTATTGCCTGTCAATTATCCTGGTTACTACTAACACACATGAGAGTGGTATAAAGCACAACAAAACAAACATAGCAAGAAACAGAACGCAGCAATGGAAGGTATCAGAACAATACACAAAATCACATTCAAGAACAGTATATACCAATCATTTTTAAAAACTGTACACCACAAATATCCTTCCACAAATATCCTATCTATCCTGTAAGACACCAGCAGTCAAGCGAGCTCATTTTCCCCATCAGTGTACAAATGAGTGTTTAACATTGATGCATGAACTCACCTTTTTGTACAGCAAATAAAGAGCAATGCCTGTGAAGGCACCCAGACCCAATGCAAGTAACACTTTTTTGCTGTTGATGCCCATTGCAATCAATATCTGAGAACAGAACCAAAAATAAGCACACCACATCTAGGCATCTATCTAATACACATGTGTCAATGCCATGGCATACACTGAGGCAACACATTATCAATAGTGATTCCAGTCAGTCAGTACCAGCCTTTTTCAGCATGGGACAAGCAAGGTAACAACATACATATGCAGTATATGTGGTACAGTTCTGGCCAAAACACATGTGAATGGGGTTTGTGACCTCTGGGAGCTCATATGAGCATTCTATTTGGGCATTAGGGTATCCTCCCATCACAAAGTTAGCAGGAAATAATGCTATGAAGCTTGACAATGAGGTACAACCACTGCCTGAAACCACCCAAGGCCATGCCATCCTTGGTGCTGCCCTAGTCAGGCCTGGTACCAGGTACCTCACACAAAGTCACAGCAAGTGACCCAGTGCAGCCTGCCTAGTATGGTAGGTGCACGCCCGGCAACCCCCGCTCCTGGGACCCACAACATGTCAGTCACAGGGTATCTGTGGAGTGTGTGAGCTGCGAACCATGATAACTGATGGAAGATAAATCATGGAGTTTTGATGAATGATGAAACAAAACAATGGTGCTGGTTAACCAGCACCAAATGGTATGTTGAAGCGGAACATTAATTATGTTCAATATAACTCCGAACTAAAAAGAGCAGCATTGGCAACCCATGCACACATATCAGGCTCCACAACCCTCATTTACATTGCCCACAGGCTCCAGTCATGGCTTGTAGATTGGTGTCTGATTAGCTTGGGCCTATTGCTCGGTATATAGATGTTGCATGATTCCATTCTAAGTGGTGCCAAGGAAGTGCTCTTAAAAACATCATCCATCCTTATAAGATATATGGCAACATAATGTCAAACGACAATCCATAGCCACGGCAATACCAAACGCAAAAGCGTCGATCGAATGCCCAAGACAAAACTTTTACTTCGCACACCTTCCAGGCCGTTCTATAACCCCCCTCTCACCCGGAATTATTTGCCTTCAAAGCCGAATACCCAACGCACAGTTCGCGACTCTACCCGGCATTCATCGATGCCAAACGCGCATCCCGACGCAGGTACGCTGTTTTCGTAACATATGCGTGCTACCAGATTTTCTCAATAGGTAAAAAAGGTACCTGTTTCTTTTTTTGTATTTATATCTATTGTGCAGCGACAGCCGTCGCGTGACGTCTCGACCCGAATGACTTTGTGGTCACGTGACGTGACATAGGGTGAACACTGGGCCGCGATTGGTGCAGACAAACGTACCGGCGACAGACCGGACGCGGCAATGGCATAAATTATTCACAGGCCGGTGTGCCGGTTTCTGCTTGATCCCGCTCTCGCGTGATCTATTCCGGCCAGTGAGTTCCTTTCCAGCTGGGCGGGAGGGGGAGGGGCCCGAGACCCGTACCTTTGCAAAGAAAGTGGGCCAGATCTTTGGAGATACCCGATTTTGTATGCATTGGTAGACAGACCATGGTTCATCTGGTCCCTTTTATTATAGTCGCTCTCCTGGACGAACTCAACCCCCTGCCACACCCGGCCGTCCCCTCCTCCAGTCTGCAGCCATTCTAGCCCGCACAAGCGACCTCGGCCAGGTCACGTGGTCAATGCCCGTAGGCATGGGCCCCATTCGATCTGTCGTCATCACGACTGTCCTCTGGAACGCATGACGTCATGCGTGCTGACAGAGCGCTCGTTGTGTGGGCTGGCGAGGAAGTTTTTTTATTTCTATTTTTTCTTCTCTTGCCTTTTACTTCAGACCGCACACCAACTCTGGCTTACCGCTGACTATGACACACCACATACGAAGAGGTGTTTGGAAGCGTGGCCTCTGCCCCGGAATTACCGTCACGAGTGTCGATTTGTATTCTTTTGTGACGACCCTGCCCCCCCCCCCCCCCTCCAGTGCTGAGTTGGGCCCCCAATGTTGGCTTGGCCGCCCTAGTAGTTTTGGCTGGAATGCTAAATAAAATGTGGGTAAAAGATGATCGTAACACAAGGGCCATCTTCTTTAACCTTTCTGCCTAGAGGCGTCTCGTACCACTCTCATAACAAAAAGCCATGGTTGCGCTCACCACAAGATGCAAATCGTAACAGCTGAGCGGACAAACGATGTTATGGCCTTCACATACCTAGTGCCATGAGACACGCCATGGTTTGTGAGGTTAAAGTGAAAAGCTCTGGAATATGGAGATGACCTAAGTCCATGGTTAACTTCGTCCCCATACCCCACGGCCACAATACGTGCCACCTCCCACGACCGCCGTAGAAAGTCGCTATCGTCGCCCTAAGGTGGCCTCCAAACGTCTAGACATTAAGGTGGCCACGTACCGATCAAAAAAGACGCGAGCGTCCAGTGCCTGCTCCCTGGATCCAATTCTGCAGGATTTCTATACTGCTTAAATTAAATACTTTTATAAATTACACAGAGATGAAGGACATATATTACGTTTAATCAAAATAGAGTGGGCTAAACCCGGTGCAAAAAAATGGGGAGCTAGAATATGACGCTTTCGATTCGGCCCCCCCCCCATAATTTACAAAAATTGACACTCCTGAAAACCGTCATCTATCCCATCCATATGTCACTCTTCTTCATCCGACCTCCTTCCCATTTCCAACTCATTTCAATTTCGTCCCTCTCATTTTGACGGTTCGCTTATAAGGCTTTTAATTTACGGGGTAACGCAGACCCACACCACATTAATCACTGTCACTCATCTTTTCGGGGCAACTCTTGACATTTCATTTCTATCCTTATCTATCTCACGTCGCATTTCCCTCCAAAATTAGACGCAAATGCCCTCTCCCCACACAACGTACCGGCCAACGGAAGAACTACCAAATCAAACTCCCGCTTCAGTCAGAGTGATTTTTAATCTGGTAGCACTATCTTTTCATGCTGAAAAGCTGACAAAAAAATAATCGTCAGCGGGTGCGTCATCGTCATCGTCAGCCTGTGCATGACGTCACGGGGCCACATGATTTCGAGGTCACTTGACGCGACTTAATGCGATTATTGGGCCGTGATTGATGCTGACAATCGTGCTGACGACAGGCCGAACGCGGCCATAAACACAGCGGGCGCCGCCGCTTAACCGCTGACTGGGCCGGCTGAAAGTCGCCCTGGGACCCATTACTAATAGCCTACCGCATGTTTTGTGAATGAGTATACCCATTGCTTCTCGCTCAGCCCACGTTCTTGAGGATAGCGATGCATTGAGTAATCCATTGCTGGTGAGCTCCGATTTCGCTGAAAACGCGTTCTGAAGATCAATTTAGGTATGACAACACCAAATCTGACGTCAATCTTTAATACCACGTGACCTTCAAAGGTCAAATTAAAGATCGAACGATGGGGAAGGTTATGTCACCGACAAGTTTGGGGCTGATTCCCGATTTTTCAGAATCAGAATGCTCACCAGCGCATGAGTTAGCGTCCATGAAAATAACCTTACTGTGGAAACTAAAAAGGCCGAATGTGGAAAATAAGCAGTCGAATGTGGAAAATTAGAAGCCCGGCACACGCTCGGCACACCTCATCAGTCAGGTCGCCGGACCGGCCCGTCCCGAAAACCGGCGCTCAAGGTCTACACCCGGCCGCCATCGGAAGTGCCGCCGGACCGGCCCGTCCCGGGGGCCGACGCTCAAGACCAACGACTGCCCATCCGGGAGGGGGGGGGGGGGGGAAGCCCGCCAGGGGGGAGGATGGAATCGCGTTCGATGCTGCGCAACCCACACAACCTGCAGCTCGACACGGCCACCGTGTCGCCACTGCCGGATGTCACAGCGTCCCCTGCAGCTCGACACAGCCAACGCGTACGGATGGCGTTCCACCGCACCGGATGGAACAGCGTCCGAGCCACGCGACCGCGGGCGCAAAAGCGGGGCCTCGCCATGGAACGACAACCTAGCATGGGAGCTGCGTCACTCACGCCTGGCGAACAATTACCCGTCAGCGTCGGGCCGACGGATCTTACCCGACCATTACCGACCACTTCTCGGCGGCATAGAAGGCTTAGTTATAGGATTCGAGTCACTCCCGTCCCCAGGACTGGCGAGGGCCCGGGCTGCCTACGCGCTGTGACCGTATTGTCCACCACACTCTCCAAGCACGTGAAGAGATATGCCTTTCATGCCGGACTACCCGGGATGAAATGTGACTGTTGATGGACAATGGGTCCTTGTAGTTTTCTAGTGCAGTGCCACTGCATAGGTGTTGTTTATATCCCTGAGTGTTGTGAGTGCTACGTCTCGCTCTTCTTGGCCGGCACGGCACGCTACCATTCGCTTTGGCAGTCTTCGACAGATGAAAATGCATGATTAGTCGTTGTACCAAACGCTTTAACCAAAAACATGTTGGGTGTCGAACCACTCAGAGCGTATGACTAAGTGACGTAGTAGGAGGCTTGACGGATAACGAAGCGGTACAGGAAGCAATCCCATTATGACATCTCAAGGTCAAATACAGGGCAAATGACCAAAACATATCACCATATCACCATTTGGTGAAACACCACATCACCAACAAGTCCTCGACCGGTTTCCGGATTTTCAAGCATCAAATTCACATCAAGCCATGAAATAGTGTCTTCAGCAAGTCCTGATCTTTCAAGGTCCCCCGCAAAAAAAAATGGTGGAGAACTTTCAAATCGCTGATATTACCGGCCCGACTTAGATTCTTGAACTTCCAAAATTGTCTACGGTCCATAAATTAGCGTCCGTTAAGAAGTTGGTCCGTCAAGGCTACCGTTCAAGGTATAATTTCAGCTCTGATGATGGGGCACTCCACAATCTACCCAAAATACCGCCAATATCGGATTTTAAGCATCAGAATGCAGAACATTCACCAGCGCATGACCTGGCGTCCTGTAAAGAAACTCTTACCTTTGAAGGTTGCCCTTCAAGTTCAAATTCAGGCACAAATCGCATCAAAATAGGTTTACAGCAATTTGAACCTGAAATTGAAAGTGAGGTTAGACTTAAATGAAATGGGAACCACCATTGAATCAGTACCCGCTTGTTCACCCCAAAGTATAAGGTTTCAACCGGTTGTGGTGCCACGATCATCCTCCGCCGTTTCCCCTTCCTTCCGGACCCGATAGTTCGAAGGACTGCACTTCACAGCAATCAACTGGTGGATGCTACGGGAGCAGACAATTCTAGTTGTCACCCCCCCTTTAACACATTACGATACGAAAACACCCGATCACCACGATACAAAAGCCATTCAAACGTCGCTCACACAGTTCTTTGTTGGGATCATGCAACGCGCAACCGTGATGCAACCCGTCTGGAATGCCAGCCACAGGGTCTTCTCCTTCAGGTGGTCAGCATACTCAGAAAATGTCAGTGCACGGTCCGCTGACAGGCGCTCTCCCCAGCTGAGCATCAGCGGGAAGGCAGGGTCTCGCACCTAAGCATCATGACAAACGGAGGGCAACCTGTGTTTCGTAAACCTGACTCCGATCACGCAACATCAGCATCGGTAGATGCACGTCCAGAAGACTGAGCTCACCCTATCTTTATAACCAAACCCACAAAGTGGTCCACCTTCGTCTGAAATGAAGATGTTTTTAAGCGTCAAATCTAGCGACAAACTCATGACCAGCACGGTATTGCCACCGCACTTGCCCGCTCGTCGCGCAGGGATATGCCTCCACCCATCGATTGAAGTCCTCTGTCACTTCTAGCACGTGCTTGAAACTCCGAGGAGTTTCCAGGAGACTGGTGACCAGGTCTATCTAAGCCATCGGCCCGACGCAGACAGCTGGTCCAAACTCACACCTGGCCGTGGAGTAGACGAGTTTCGATTGGTACAACGGCGACACTGCGTGCGAAAATCTGCAACTCTGCAGTCCGGAAGCGGCCACCAGCAGCTGAGCCGCGTCCCTCCGCGAGACTGTTGGCGTTAAAGTGCGCTCTGCGGATATGTCGTGGAGGGACGCGAACACGGCGGGTATTAAATGTGGTAGCACATCAGCTGCAG